AAAGTCCTCGATGGCCGCAAATGGCCGCATTCAACGCAAGAGCACCTCACTGATTCGTTTGTTGTGTAATCCTGCCTTAAAAATCCAGTTAGTTCTTGTCTCAAAGTCACCTGTGGCACAGACCAGAAACCATTTACAAGGCTGAAAGAGAAAGGCTTTGTGGGAAGGTGACTTCTGGAGGTGATTGGTAACTATTTGAGTATTCGCAGCTTAGCTGAGGAGAGTGATCAATAAATCAGCTGCTCTCAGAATCCATCACAATTGTGCCACTAAATGCTCTTAATGCAGTCAGTGATAAACTATGGCCAGAGCACTTCTGGAAGGATCCGGTGCATCCTTGCAGAGCACATTGCTCGAGCACTGAATCAGATGGTGAGGGGATGAAGTAACTCTCTGGGACTGAAAAGAAACCTGAGGATCCTGATGTGAGCACAGATCAGTGGTGTGGGGCAGAGCTCAGGTGTGGCAAAGAGTGCCATCTGTGGGCTGATCATGAGAACTGCATAATGAGATGGGATAAAATCTCGACTTTCCTTTTTTTTTTAAATCACTCTAAGTTCATTCTTAATACTTAGGACAGGAGCTGGAAAATATTAACACAGCAACTGTTTATTGGCTTTCTGGGAAATTTCAACTATATCACAAATAATTTAAATAAACACTTAATCGTCACATGTTTCTGATTGTTTGGTCAACAACTGACTAGCCTGATACAGGTCAGGTCAGAGGTGTAGGGCCCTAACAGTGCTCCTCTTATTCCTCCTTGCACAAAGGAGCAGCTACTGGTCCTGCTGCTGGGTTGATGTTCATCTACCACCCTGACCATTCTGCTCATGTACTGGCCCATTTCTTGGTATCAAACTGCCCAGACTGTGCTGGGAGACATTCTCGTCACGGCATGAATGAATGCGCCATCCCAGGGGAGCTATTCAACCTGTGCAAGTTGATTGGGCCCCATGTGCCAACTCATGCTATCAGTAGTGACAAGGACACTTGCAAAAATCAAAACTAAGAAAAAGTCAGGAGGGATAAGGAGAAAGTAATGGTCTGTGGTCCAAACTCGCATAACTGTTGACTTTTTGAGGGTTGCCTTCCTGTTGTCATATTAATTTGCACCTAAGCAGATAAAATAGATTCAAGCAGTTTATCCTTAACAACTAGACCAGGGGTGTCAAACTCAAATACACAGTGGGCCAAAATTCAAAACTGGAACAAAGTCGCGGGCTAATGTTAATATTTATTGAAAAAAAAAAAAATCTTCCTCCAGATATAAGAATGAATCTTTTCTTATGGACTCAAACAAGTTTTGCTGAAAAACTGAATATGGAACAAGCAAAGCTTAATACTAAACAATATATATATTAGCTGTATAATACCAGTAGGCCAGATTTGGCCCGCGGGCTAGAGTTTGACACCTATGAACTAGACCAACTCGATTAAACGTTTAACTGACTTTTAGTTATACTGTGACGATCAACTGTTTCCAAAATGTTTACTTAACTTTTTTCAGAGCAGTGTACAGGATATACTCCAAAACTAACTGCAACACATGCACACCAACATCGAATATAATACTGGGTTAGTGCAACATACATTTAGATTTTTAATTTTATTTAAATTAAAATCTCAGTATGGTAGAAAGTTGAGAAGAAAATCCAAAGCAGAGAGTTCAACAGAGCTCAGTTTAGTTTCAGTTTAGTTTAAAAGTGTTTAGCTCTATTTAAAAAAACAAAAACAAAAGGAAACTATGATACAGAGGAATACATATTACAGTGGAACAGAGCCATTCAACCGCCCCAGTCTCATTAAACACTGAAGCACCGTGAGCAGCTTTGGTGTTGACAAACAGACAAAAACTAAAATTAAAACCTTTGCTGCATATTTTTTTATGTATTTCAAATTTGTGTGCTACATTTTTTTAACACCTGCCTTTACATTTCTGTTTAATTTTAGTTACCTATGCTACATTTGGACTATTCTCCCAGCTGTTTTAATGGGGAAGATTAAAGATCTTTAAATATTTTCTTGCAGAGATTCCCTTAGTACTGATCTTGTTTTCAGCAGTATGACTACCTCTATCTATCAGTTAGTCTATCGCCAACACACAACTATACACAAATTCTTTCAAATACAGTGTTGGAACTGATTCATCGACCATATCTCAGGTTAAGTACAAACTAATTGATCTCTAATTCTTCTCGTTCACTCCACTTACTTGTTAACGATATTGTTGCAGTGTGCAGTGATTAATTGATGCCATACATGGTGCATTTACAGTAAGAACCATGTCAGCAAACCTCTGGCAAAAGCAGGTTTCCTTTCCATCCATTTTAAAACAAAAGACTGTGAGGTGAAGCATAGTTGCTGCATCTCCAGCTGTGCAGAGATCACCGCAGCTTTCACTCACCCTCTGAGAGCCTGGGCCCTCAGCAGTGACCCCCCTCACATCAAACTTGACTGCTCATGTCCTGTCTGCATGCCGAGTTGTCGTGTAGGCTGTGTCGCTCTGTCACAAGACATGTCCCACATTTGCAGCCGCCACCGTTGGCCAGCAGGATGAGAGCGTCTGTCAGGAGAGCTGACACGCATGCCACTTTACTGGGCGACTGACAGAGGGCCACGCCACACTGTCACTTCTTCCAGATCTATTGCCTGAGGATAAACACGGACACACACACACACATACAAAGAGACTCACGCATGTTAATAACACAAGAGTAAACAGAGTTGGAATCTCAGAGAGTGACTGACTGACAGGCTGACTGGGTGACCGACCAGGGCTGAGGAAGCTGGAGCACTGTGTCACCCCTCATTCTTACAATCTCCAGCTGTCACATCAAACACTCTGCTCCTGTGTTGCTCCTCCTACTTACTCAACTCCACCACCTTCTCCCGTCCCCTACCTTACGTACTGATATCTCATCAGAAATATGTACTGCAGCGCTAAAACTCACAGTCCCAGCATGTTAGCCTTCATGTGTACTTTTTAAAACGTCATTTATAGTACATGGCTGTATCGTATATGGTTCCTCCTCCTATTCATTCTGTTGGATCTGTGGGGTGTTGTGTTTTTAATAGTTCTTACAGACTTATGAAAGGGTTGATTTTACTTTCCAGTATGAGTCCCATTACTTTAATATTACTCCATAACACATGTAAGTGTTCTGAGACCAATTGATGCAGTTTTATTAGATCCTTTTTATTTTTTTTTGCTTGATCTAAGGAACAGCTGCTCAGCACTTCAATTTAGTGTTAAAAGACATGCTGAATGTGTTTTGACACTGTCTTGTTAAAAAAAGGAAGTGAGGCCCTCCCTAGAAAGCTGTCACCCCGATGGTAGCATATCTTCATATAGTACTTCATATATTAGCTATTTATCATTCAGTCATTATTATTGGGGTCTTCACAGGTGTGCAAGTTCCCCATACTATGCAGACTAATGTGCACTTTACCATCATGGATGCTGGCTTTTAAACTCTGCGTTCATGTCAACACTTTCCACTTCACAATTGAAGACAGTGAGCATATTTTTGTATGCATTTTTGGAGGGGTTGTATTGTTTTAATTTGCATCTGTGGTGACAAACTTTATTCACTTGCAGCAGTTTTCAGATATGTGCCTGAATTCATCCAGGCTTCCACTTTAGGTGTCATGGTGGTGCAGTATGTAGCATCTCTCAGCAAGAAGGTCCTGGGTTTGAATCCACTGGATGAGTTCCTTCTGTGTGGAATTTGCATGTTCTCTCTGGGTATTCTGGCTTCTTCCCACTGTCCAAAGACATGCATGTTCGATTAATTATTGATTCTAAATTGGCTGTAAGCGTGAATGTTTTCTCTCTCTCTCTGTTTTAGCCTTGTGACAGACTGGCTACCTGTCCAGGGTGTACCCTTCCTCTCACCCCATGATATGCTGGGAAAGAAACCCCCAGTGACTTTCAGGTCCACAGGGATATTTTAAATGTTTTTATGTGATCCTTTATGCAGGTAGACGAGATCCTTTTCAAAGAACCCCACAAAACATATTAGTTAAAAAAAAATTTACTCAAAAAAAGGGGGAAAAAACACTCAATGCCCTCCCCAAACCAAAAATAAATAAATATTCAAATCAAATACATAAATGTAAGCAACAATTGTTGAATTTAGCCTCTCCATTGGTTATACAGCAGCGAGCCTCTATGATGCATCAATGCTTGTACTGGTAATTTCTGCATCGTAAATGCCTTATGTATACACTTTGTGTTCATTTTGTCCGGCAGCCTCGCCTCTGTCAGTGCGCCCCAGGGTGGCTGTGGCTACAATGTAGCTTACCATCACCAGTGTGTGAATGTGTGTGTGTGAATGGGTGGATGACTGGGTGTGTAAAGCGCTTTGGGGTCCTTAGGGACTAGAAAAGCGCTATACAAATACAGGCCATTTACCATTACACTTTGTCTGTAGTGCTTCTTTGTTATTAGTAAAGAAATTATTTCAATGGAGCTTTTGTTTCTTTTTCTTTTAGTGTGTGTGTGTGTCGTATTTTTACTTACAGTAAATCTGGATACACTGTCTGAAATTTGATATAGGAACGTATGACTCTAATAGATTTTGTGGTACTTAAGCCCCTCATTGCTGGCTCTCCACTCATTTGCTGTGGTTTTCATTTGTAAAAGCCCCTCAGGCGCTGTTGTAGTTGCACCATGGGATTGCTGTGGTACAGTAGATGGAACAACAGTGTCCTCTAATGGCTGAAAGCTAAATTACGTCCATTGAAATAATTAATGGAAAGATAATGTTGTTGTTTTTTGGTAAAGTAAATAAATAAAAGCAAAATAAAAAAGTAGTTTTGGGAGCAAGGCAACATTTTTAAAAACCTCATTTTCAGTCTCAAACAAAACCTACAGGGATGTCGCATCTGTTCAACAGCAGGCACCAACACTGAGGTGTTTGGAGACTCGGAGTCTTGGAAGTTAATTTGTGATGATAAAAAATGCTGAAAGAGGGTCAGAAGCCAAGTTCTATTTAGCTTTTTTAAAATCCAAAATTATCTGGTAATTATATTTAACTGTCTAAGTGGGTATACTTACTGAAGGAGTGAAACTGAAATGTTTACGTTTACATGTAAATGTAAACATTTCAGTTCTTGACCGACTTTTAATAAGTGGAATATTATCAGGGCTAAACTGTGAATCATGATTCCAGAATAGAAATACCCATTCCTCGGAAATCAACCTGCGTGCTCTGCAGAAATGAACTGAATCAGAAACAACAGCTCATACTGAAAATAATGAGATGTTGTTTATGGGAAAAGTTTTGCCAGTAGCCTGCCAATAGATGGCAGTGTGCATTCATGCAATGCATTTATCTTAGACATGAGTGAAAAGTAGAGCAAGTGCAATTTAGCAATAATAATATTAACACAGAGAAAAACATGTAGCATTACACGTATGTAACATGCAACAATGATCTTTAAGTTTAGGCAGAGATATCTGGTATTTCGTGTGTCTGGTTCGCTGGTTTCAGACTGACTACAAAACAAGTAAAGCTTTTTAGAGACTTACGGGGAGTCAAACCCGCCCTCTGAACCTCTCATATCTCTTTGCATGATGCATTATGTAGGTGTGCCGACAGACAGGAACATCAGGCCCAAGCAGCAGCTCTGTGCGCTTCCCCAGCGGCTTGCTCCAGTGTCACAGTTGTTTAACTCCAGTAATGCAGGCCAATTAAGTATGATGTAGAGCTGCCTGCTGGGACCCCCGCACTTTGAGTTCTGGAGACTCCCAGAAGCTCAGGTCAGGAGGCTATAGGCTCTGGACATGAATGATTAATCCTGAAATTGACTTTGTTTTTCTCATCAGAGGCCCCAGTTGCTGGTAATAGTTAGCTGAATAAGACAAGAACAGCTGTTCCAGCCTCATCATCATCTAAATAAAACCTGGAATAAAGGAAAGATCGTACCTATGTGTTACTTCAGTGATGATGAAAGTTAGCTTCAACTTCAAAAGCTGAAAACTTGAGCCTCACTAATTATGAACTCGTATTTGAATGAGAGCAACTTTGAAATATTATCAAAGATATTCATTTATTGAAAAGGAAATAGATAATACAAATGAAACAAAATCGTTTTTTTCACATAATTAATTTCATGAGTCATTGACAGCAAAGAAAAGTAATCTCACAGGAAACTCATTTGGAGTCTTGCTTTCAGACGTTACTCTTATGAGTTTTATGACATGAGTAGTTTTGACACAGAGTGCTTCCAAAAAGTGCTTTCTGCAGAGTAAATACTGTACAGTGCAATGCCAAGTAAACAATACATCACATCTGATCATTCATTGGTAAACATGGTTCATATCAAAGAACATAAATGTTCAAAGTTTCATCAATACAGTACATTTATAGCAGACTTCACAGAGACCAAACCTCCCAGTCTCAAAGTATATCACATTTAATTATCTCCCTTTGGATTTCAACCAACGACTTTTGATTCCCGTTGCTTTTCTTTGCAACTTTCAGTTCTGTTTCTGTGAGTGCAACCTCATCCGCTTTTCTCGCAGTTCGGCTGCCCCCTGCTCTCCTTCAGTTTGTCTCTCTGGCCCTCCGGAGTCTTGGAGTCTCTTCTTAAATCACTAACCACAGCTCGGAGGTTTTTGAACCTGTCCAGCCGAGTGCTCTGGGCTGCCTGAAGTCTGACTTCTGAACCCTGAGTTGCACTTAGGGAGCTGAGAGAGCGCACACCCGCGAGGCCGCGCTCCTTTCCTGCAGGACGGCGTGGTGTGGTCATAGTGCCGAGATCCTCAGGGTGATCCATGTCCCTGATGACCTCACACAGGTAGCGGGCCAAGTCCTGGCTGGAGAAGGACAGGGTTTTCTGGGAGCGGCGGAAGGTCAGAGGGGACGGCAAGGTTTCTGTCTCTGAAGGAGGAATTGCCAGACGTAGAGCAATCGCGGCACTGCCATTTCCATTAGACGTGCCATTTTTGTTGTTGTCCTGGGTGGGCTTAGTCTGCGGGTAAGAGATGATGCTTTGAGGATAACTATATCGGAGTGACTGTGCTGGGCTTGGCTGGAGGGAGCGCTGTAGCTCCACCATGTTAAAGGCATTCTGAGAGACCAACACAGAGAGAAGAAGGGAATGAAAAGAAAGAAGAGAAGAACAGATACGGTTTTCCTCTTGTGTAATCCTTTTTTTGGGAGTTTAAGAGATAATGAAAAACAACACTGGCACACCACATTAATCTGAGCTGTGCAGCTCAGCTAATGCCTCTGCTAGCTAATTAACCCATTCCTAAGACTGAGACAAAGATCCAGCATGTAAGAAGAGATGTTGGCAACAACATGACCATTGATCAGCCAAGTAATTAATTATCTAATTGCAGAAAGAGGAAACTGCTACTACAAGCACTATTAAAACTGAGGCGTTAACAGCTATTGGTATCTACGTTCTTAATTTCTGCTAATTGACTCACAATTCTATACTCCAGGCAATTTGCGGTTCCAAGAAATAGTTTGTGAATTGAGACTAACAAGATTTCTTGACTATGACTCACACGATATAGCTGAATCTTTATCTAGGTCACGATTATACAAAATAATAAACCACAACACTAAAAAAAACAACAGAAAAAACCCCACAATCTGAGGATAAAACACAAATTTTGTGCTCCTCATTTCTAAGAAACAGATAAATTAGTCAAAGCGCAGGCTTGAAAAAAAAAAAGTGAACCTCTGTTCTAATTTCTTCAAATATTCTTTCAAATTTTTGCTGTTAGGTTCTCCAATTAAGAAAATATCACTCAAAAAAATGGGACTGACATGTACAGGTGTTTGCTACAAGAAAAACACTGAATAAGTGCTGCTGCTGGAAGCACACTACAAAGAAAATTACAGCTCTCCAAAAAGACACTGCACCATCTCTCAAGTCTAGAGCTGCACCTGTGCACATAAATGCTCCACAACATTTTTACCATAGTTTTTAAGATAAAAAAATTATTAAAAAAAGCACTGGACACCAACACTGAAACTACGTCCCAGCTGTGAAGTACAGAGGAGGGAACATCCTGTTTGGAAGTGTTATTCCATCGAGCGCCTGAACGGTGAATTAAAAATGATACCAAGATTTCTTTTAAATAGAATGTAGGGGCAGCGGCACACTACCCGAAGCTTAAGTGATGATGGGGGATGATCCAAAGCACACACACAAAATCTAAAACCTAATTATTTAGAAAAGAAGAAAAATCAGGTTTTGGAAAGACTTGATCTTGGACATCACAAAATCACGCATAACATGGTTGTTGCTGTTAAAGGAGAATAAATACTTCCTAAATCCAACTGCTTTATCTTGCAAATGTAGATTTTTATCTCAAAACACCAACAAATATTCTCCATCCAGTGTTGAAGTTTTATTTCTGTTCATATATATTTTAAAATAATATATCTTAATGTTATCAACATAACCCTGGAAATAAGAACTTAAATAAGTTCTCTATGTAAGTTTGGTTGTTATTTACTCTCTGTGTCAGAATGCATTTACGTTTACCTGATCTTGCTCTCCTCCACCTTCCTCGTCGTAGTTGAGCACATTCTCTCGGATGTCCTCCCACTCGCCGTGATGCGCAGACACATGGTACACACCCTCCTTTAGGCCCTTGTGTCTCCTCCAGCAGGAGTAGAGAAACAGGCCCAGCATCAACACTGAGGGGTGCCAGAGAGCAGGTTAACGCAGCAGGGAGCACTGTCACATAATTAGCATGAACTCCTGAGCTGAAAAAGCACGGCTTTGGCTGCATATGTAATCGACAAAGTTAGGAGGTCCTAGGAAATACATGACTGCAGTCAGGATATAATTTAATTACAAATAAATAAGTAACGCAGACTCATAATACATGACTGTAAATACATTTTGCATCACACTGACTTGTCCCGTAAGGCCTGTTAGCTGCACTGACTACAGTTAGGACATACTAATAAAACATACGTGCAAACGGAGGCACCACCTTTCTACCTATATTCCCTTTGATGTTGCCTCTGTTTCCTGTCTTATCAAAGACCGCAGTTCCTCAGAAACCTATTAACTGAATTTGTACTCCTCCCAGCTTAAACTCAAAGCCTCAGTGGCTCGGAAGAACTCTGAGAGGAATGCAGCGGGAGCCGAAAAAGAAAGGTCCTAAAGCATACACATCAATCACAGCTATTGTGTGCTGAATTATACAACATGCTGGACTGACCTTTAAAGTCCATTAATCTCAACCAATATTTTTCTCCCATCTGCCATCCTTCTCTTTCTCTTTTTTCCTTTCTCGCTATCTGTTTTTACTAGTTCGCAACTTGACTCCCCCTTTTTATCTGTGTACGTTTTTTTGGTCTCTATATATTGGCGCTTGCCTCTGTCTTTCCTTTTCCATTCCTCACTCATTAAGTCTCTCAGTGTTCCTGTTTTTCAGTCCCTCTCTGGCCTCTGCCTAGCCTTGGCTTTTATCTCTCACATGAGATGGGATCCATTTCAACTAGAATAGTTTATATGGTGTGAGTCAAGTATCAGTTTAATTGGAAATCTTCTGAGAAATGCGGGGTAATCACATTAGTCTGGATTTTTCAAGTAATTGCTTCGAAAGAGAATAATGCGGCAACGACTCATCGGGGGTCACGCTAAAAGGTACTCACAAACAAAGACAAAAACAAGTCCCGCGAGCTAGTCTCCACCAACTTCTTATTTCTTCTGCTACACTTTTCTGCTTCTGTTCTGCACTCATGTTAGATAGAAAAATAGAGTCTGCAAGCATCCCCCTCCCTCGATCCTCAGCTGAACCTCCTCAGTATGGGGTAGAGGGGAGAGCGGTATTGATCAGCTGACCTGGCTCCTTCACTGTTACGCCAGAGTACCCTTGCAGAAAACATCAGAATTTTGATAAGGCCCGGCACCAACCAGACGGCAGCTTGAGCCCCTCGCCTCGAGAATTACCTGCTCTGAGGTGCTGCCTGCAGGCCCGCGCTCAACCCTCAAAATCACCTGAATTGATATGAAAAGAATCTCTGGAGGGGAGGAGTTCGATACGCAGCGCAGTGGAGCTTAAGAACACTCCCTCCATCACACAAACACACACCCAACTGCTAACAGGTAAACACTGACCACACCGCCCACCCACACACACCGAGGCTGCCTTCCCCCTACACCTGCAGCCACTACTGCCTCAAGTTATATGGGTGTGCGCAGCTAAACTCCAGTGAGATCAATATCACTCAGGGTGGAGAACAACCATCGCACTCATTCATCAATCCATAACACCACTGCTGCCTCTTTGCCCTCTAACCATTACTATGACCAGGGTATTATGATGTTAGCCTCGATCGGACCGTGCATTATGAATGAGTATGGAGTAAACGACAACAGTTAACCCTTTCGCTGTAGCTCCAGTCTGAGGTTAATGAGGGAAAAATGAGCTCCGAGACAGATGAAACATCAGCGGAAGACGAGGGAGAAAAGAAAAGTGACGACCGAGCAGAAGGAAATGAGACAGGTGAGAGATGAGAAGGAGTTGGAAAAAAAATAATTTATTTATAAAAGTTTCAGGGGATGAAAAGGACAGGCACTTTACAAGATCGTTTGGCAGCCAGAGCCCATATGGGTAGCTAATTTCTGCTATTCATCAAGAAACAGAACGTCAGATCTGATGCTGGATTAATGAGGATTGGTCAGACATTGGCTCATCTGGCTCTGTCAATAACACACACTGAACTCACATTCTGTAAGCTTGTGATGGCTTATGTAAAACTTAATAATGAATGATCATTTTAACTTTTAATGCATGTTGAGGCAGAGTAGGAGTCCCCCTTTAATTTAGCACCCAGCTAGTGGTCTCACTTAGTGCAGAGCGTGCTGTATGCGAGTGTGTTATTGTGGTGATGGGGGTCATCATTAAACAACTACATACAGTACAAACAGCTGTTCTCTGACTCAAAAACTGGATTAATTTTGCTTCCACGTTCAGCCAAGACGGCCGATTTCTCTTTTTTCTTCATTATGTTTTAGTGAAAGATTTATTTTAGTTTATAGTGTGTGGTTTTTTAAGGTGCGAAAATGTAATTACGCTCACCAAAGAGTGCTACTCTAATCTGAATTGCATTAAGGAACAGTTTGTAATTCTTGGTGAGGTGAAAAGTTTGAGCCTTGAATATAAATGCCTCCGCTGCAACAGTGGACAAGCTATTTCAAATGGACTTCTTTTAGTTAGCATGCAAGCAACACATGAATTTTCATGATAGATGCCAAGGCCACACTTCATCATCTTTGAATTCATTATCAAATATTGAAGACTGCTTTGTATGTTTCACTCTCGTGTGTCAGAATAACTGATGTCCCAATACTAGCCACATGCCCTGGAGGGAACACGAAGTTAGTTATAGCGGCAGGGACAGTGTATTGAATTGCCCGAGCGTTTTATAAGCCTGTATGTGACAGAAAGACTCATAAATAGCAACGTGGCGCTATAGAGAGAAGTGACTACTGCTACATACACACACGGGCATGTGTTTAGCTTTGTGAGTAGCAGAAACAAACATAGTTCCTTAGTTAGAAACCCTTAAAGTAATGCCGTTAACTCATTCCTTTCCTAAACATTAACCATGAATTAATGCAATCGTCCTTCTTTTTTGACACAATTGGCGAGATATCAATGCATACGCATTTAAAAAGGCCCCGCTGGCAGCAGATGTGGGAAGATATTGAATCTTGATTCTATTAGATCTTAACACAGCTTATGAGACCATCAACCATGCAGCTTTATTAGACTGCTTATACAAGCGGGCCAATGCCATCAGTACTTAACTGCTTCAAGTCTAGAGCTGAAACATTAGTTGAATAATGAATTTGTTGATCAGTTTTGATGGCTGATCAAGCTGTTTCCCCGGTTCATTTTAGCCTCTCTCTCATTCGTCTTTCGACACATCGATAGATGTTCTGTATTTTCAGCTTCTGCCATTTCATAGAGTAAACAATCAGTTTATGATTGACAAAGAAAACAAACACAATGTCTACCAATACTCAAATTATCTTGTGTCTTTTTCACTCTGAATGTTCTTTTGTGCTTCTTTATAGGCTTCATACTAGTCTAGTGATAGAAAGGAATTAAATTATCTGCCATTCTAAACAGACTCACACTTGTACCTTCTTCTGGAGTCAAAAGGTATAGCTTTCATTTCTTGACTGTTGGCTTTCACCTTTAAAACTGATCATCACTGAAGGTTCTGCACCTAAACAAAACGAATGCATATTTTCTGTTTTTAAAAACTAAAAAAAAAAAAAAAAGTAAACCTAATACATGGCTAGGAAAGGTTTTCCATATATGTATTTATACTGCCCCAATTTAATAATGCATGTACTCAGACATCAATCACGAACATGAAAATGTCAGAACGGAGCAGCTCAGTTCTCAACAGGCACAAAGAAAAGCGAGCATCGCCCTCATCTTATGATTATTGATTTTAAGATTCTGCTCCTCACATACAAAGCAGTCAGTGGCTCTTCTCTGGTATACATTTTTAAACTTATGACCCCTCAAATGTCAGAGCGCAACCACAGATCACCAGATGAGTCTTCAAAGGGAAGGTCTTTCAATGAAGGCTCACACACTTCATCACCCAAACCTTGACAAGTCTGTCTTTCTCGTAAAATATTTTCTAAAACCTTACTTTTTACAAAGCAGGATTTTGAGGTTACGTGTTCATTTTTTCTAGTATCAGTGTAATTAAAGTATAATATTGCTCATATTTTGAATCTTTTATACGACATGCATATCTGTAGGGTTAGAGTTAGGTTACCATCCAACCTGTTGTGTGACATTTTTGCCTAATTGATGTAACAAAATTGAAAAACCTATAAAATAAGAATTGCAAGGCCAAAATGCATGTATGTATGAGACTTCATGTGAAAAGTAACAATCTCTAGATTATAAAATTATGTGCAAAATGCACATATTTATTTGCCCAATATACACACTCACTCATCCAACTCAAAATTTTGCTTTAATGTGTAATTCTGTGACTCTAAGCCCAGTTTAAACCTTAAGCCTGAGAGTGATTCTGGAAACTTTGACAGCTTTTAACAGAATTTAAGTATGTTTTTTTTTTTTGCCTAAATCAAACCTTTACTGTTGAATCAACCTCCTAAAGTTTTGCCTGTTGTGTGCGATTCTCATTACAGCTCCACATGCTGTATATTACAGTGAAGTGCACACTTTGGCCATATTAGGGTTGACTTGGGAAAACAGTAATGCACGGAAAAGTATGGGCAGAAATGGATAAAAAAACCCATCAAGGGGTAAAATGAGTGGATGGTGGGATATAAAATAAGATGGAAAGATAAAAAGTAAGGCTGAGAGTGAAATTGACTCCTGAAGTCAGAGAATAACATTGGGAGAGACAGGGAATACAGGTGTGATGAGAAATATAGAAAAACACATAAAGAAACGCCCCTTTTCTCCAAGGAATCTTACAGCTTCCCCATGAATCACAAAATACGACATACAGTGTTTCTCTCCCCGCTTCTCTTCCACTGCAGATATTTGTTTCATGTTTTCACCAACCACCCATGGAGAAATCACATCCTGGCACAACTCAAGAGATCAATAACACTACAAGATATGTGTGTGAATAGATTTCACAGGACCAAACCTGGGTGAAAAACTAATAAAACAGTGGATGTTACAGATAAAACCATAACGTGATGTGATAATTAAAGCGTGACAACAACAAACAGAAATAAAAGAATACAACAAATGAAAAGAAACACCTCAGACAAAAAAAGCGGAACAAAAAACATACAAAAACTGAGCAGAGATGTTGAGTGTTGGGTTACCACAGGTAGAAGAGGACATAGTCGACATAGCTACCTAGAAAGGCCATGACACAGATACTGATGGCGAACATGGAGCTCAGGCTGAGGCTGTTGCTGTCTTCATGGAACATGGCAAGCGTCACCTCGCAGTGCCGGCCCCGGTATCCCTCACTGCAGCGGCACGAGTATCGGGATGGAGAGTGAGCCACGCAGGTGCCGTGGCGACAAGGCCGGCTGGCACAGAGTGTGTAGACGCAAACTTTTCCCAAAGAGCTCTCTTTGGTTATATGGCCTGGGGGGCATCTGCACGGAGAAGACACAGCAGTGTAATGCTGAGACAAGAAACACTTGGGAAGCTGTCAGATAAAAAAAGAGCACTGCACTCCACAGAGTTATGAGACCTAAGCTGACAGTGTAAAAATAATACCCTGAAGAGTTACACCTCTTATATCAGATTCAAAGATATGCTCTTTGAAGGTTACAGTGTCGACTGTAACTGGAGAGGGGGGAAAAAAACAGTAAAAGAAATTGAGAAGCTAAGATTGGCTTTGCAGTAGTGGTTCCTCTGTATATTTGTACAAAATATCCCCTGAATATCATTCACCCCTACCCCCTGCTTCTCTCACTGGTTTGTATCCTGAGGCACTGCAGCAATCACAGAATATGGATGTCAAAGTCCCCACTGGCTGTAAGTTTCAAAATCACAGCCGGGAAATTTAGTCGTCCTGCAGAGTTTAAAGGTGCAGCCGAGGCCCTGACTGTCACTGCTGTTATACACTATTCTCTCACGTTCACACGCTATTAGACACACAGTATAACGGGCATGCTCTTAAAATAGCTGCCATCTGGTGGACGCTTTGACTTCAAGTGTATACATAAAAATGGAGTTTGCACTAGAATAACTCTCTGTGTTATGATTCACTGTCATGGCTTATTAAGGCACTTAACAGAGCCAAGCGAACAAGTGAGCATGTTTGTCATGGTAAGTGTCTAATGTCAAGAATGATCTGAAATTAGCACAGTGTTGGAATGTTTTTAATTGCTTCTTTTCAAAAGTCCACAAAAATCGTTGTATTATTATGTTGACGTAAATGTAATATTTTTTTCTCTGCTTTTTATCTATTGTTATTTTTCTATGTGCTTAAGTGGCGTGTTCCAGTATATTGGAATATATTGATTTTTTTTTAAAATATATATCGCAGTGTACATCACTTTGCAATGATGTTTCTGAAAAGTGCTTCATAAATAAAGTTAGATCTATTCTTAACTTTTTTTATTATTTGGTAGCTTTGATAAATACTTATGTTGTCACATAAAGAACAACCTACGAACAGTGCGATAAACAATAACACATCAAGTACTTATTGTGTAGGAAGCCATGTGTGACCAGGTCAGCTCATGCTGAATGAGCTCGGCAGTCGCAGATGGCTTATGTAGAAGCAGTTAGTGAAGCCGACCGAGGACAATAACAGCACTTGCTGAAACATGTAAAGCCTTTGTCCACTGTGAAAGCCGTCCTGATAACAGAGACCATTTATACAAAAACAAGCCATTCATGTGCGTTGCCACATTACTCTTCATACTTTGCATACAAGACATTACATATGTGACATCACATAAGGTATACTAACTGTGCATGGTATTTCTGCTTAACTTAAAGGGGAGCTCTGTGGCCCTTGGATCGAATGCTGTTCCTCTTGACATTTAGTTAACAAATTGAAATATTTCCTAATCCTGTCATAGATGGCCTCTGGAAGTTTGCTCCTTTAAAACCTGACCACCATACCTTGTTTATAATGAATAGCAAAATGTACATTTAAACAAACTGCACTCATATAGCTCTTTTCTACTAGATCTGAGCACTCAAAGTGCTTTCTTACTATAACCCTCATATACACATTCATATAGGTCGTTACCACCAGAGATTTCAGGTGAAACTACTGTGAGACCTTGTATCATGTGACCCGTTTAGGTCACTTGACACAAGATGTGAGCTCAAGACTTATTTAAGTTGCTTTCTTTTTCAACTACTTGGTCGTCCATAAATGACTGAGAACCTGCGCGATCATGTCAAGACTACATTGTAGGTGGCTGACAGCTTTTTTAATAAGCAGTCACCTCTGTTCAATGATGGCTTTTCGCAGTGGACACAGACGTCTTCTTGCAATCTGTCTTCACGGCCCAAAATGTGAACACTGGCCTCCTTGAAAGAGTGACCTTTGTACTCTGAGTGCAGATGTACAGCCGAATCTTGCGATACAAGACTCATCTGTACTTAGAGGATAATGGTTACAGATGGTTTGAAAGAGGAGTATTTCAAACCTCATGTGATTATACACATGAATAATAGTGGGTCAATGACAACGTTCTAAGGGACAATGCCCACTAGAGTTTAAAAACTAGCGACTCTCCACTAAAACTGAACAAGTCTCTTGGATGAGAGTTGAAATGTCTTAAAAAAAACTTGAAGTCTAATCACCTTCTTTTCAAGCTCTTAAAACAACCATGACCTGGATGACTGAGAACCTACACAGACAAGTGCTTTTTTCTGTGCCCAGATTTTGTCTAACATTCAGACAACGAACCCCAATGGATGGCTACAGGGCAACTTAGGGTTCAGTATCTTGCACAAGGATACTTTATCATGCAGACTATGTCACAGACTGAGGAATGAGGATCCAAATGCAGACTCTAAGGCTGAACAGGTGAATATAAAACTGACCCTTATTTGAGTTTGAAACCAAAGTCCATGAGATGCAAAAATCTAATAGAAAACAAAAGGATCTAAATAGCTCCATGAAACACAAGGCAGTATTAAAAGAAGCAAGAACAGACTGGGCTTATATACACACACACACACTGAGCACACGAAACACAGTCAGGGAACTAAACACGCCTAAACTAAATCAGGGTAATGAGACACAGCTGAAGTAATCCGTGATGGTAAAACAGGTAAAGTCAAACTAAAGAGAAAGCACGAGAGACAAGACGGGAAAACTAAAAACAAGATGGGAGACTACAGAATAAGACACAGGGAACACAGGGGAGCCAGGATAAACTGAAAAACCTATAAAAAATCTATAACCATGAACAGAACCCTGAAAGCTGGCATTTTAATGAGACTATAGAATGTGGCACCAATAACTCATATATCAATACACAAGGAATTCACAACACCATCAACTTGTAATAAAATTTGTAATGTCAGCACTGAGCTTCCAGTCCTATATAACAAACAATATTAAGACTTATACACTTAAACACAACAGTAGTTGCTTGTGCTTTAAAAATGCACGTGTGCTCTGGCTCCCTTAGTTTGTCATGAACCCTGGGGTTGTGTGCCTGAGTTTGAGGTATTGTATTTCGGACTCTTCTGTCTCCTTCTTAGTTTTAGTTCAGGTTTTTTATTCTGTAAATTTGCTGCACCTGCACTCATGGTGTCTCCAGAGGTCCACGCAGACCAAGGGAGGGGAGCAGTGGTGCTTCCTGCAGGCATCTGAAGCACAGCCGACAGAGACCCCCTGTGAAGTGACCACCTGAATCCCCTCTGAAGGCTGCTCCTCATCCAGGGAGATGGAGCGGCCATTAAACCTCAAATCCCGTAAGCAACCTAGTGTAAAAAGGAAAAAGAGAAGGAAGAAGAAAAAAATTGTTTACAAATCCAAAAGAAGCACAAAACCAGTCCTCAGGCAAAATCTTTTATAGACACACATTTACTCTGTGGCAGGGGTTTAAAGTCAAATAAACAGACACACTTGCATTAAGGCACAAAAACATCTGCAAACCAGTGCTCAGACATGCTCTCACACAGGCAAACACATGAACAGCCTCAGGCCAGGTTGTCATCATAGGCTTTTATTTATGGATATTTTCCTCTTTGCTGGCTAGTTTGCTCACAGTTGGAAGCACGAGGTTCAACACATTACTTAAATACACACCAATGCCACTGACTCACTTCTCTCATCTGCTGGAAACCACAGCATCAACACACCAGTACCAGTAAATACCTGTTTGACCACTAAGTCATTCATAAATTATTCATTATCAGATTTTTCTCCACTCGTTTATCTTATTCTTTCAAAGACAGCTGCAGAGCAACCTACCCACAAAGCTCCTGTTATGTCCTGAGGGAAAAGAGTTTCCGAGCATCACCACAGCGGGGTCAATGATGATCTCCCGACTTTGTCCAGGTGAGGCCGTTACCTCTCGCCGTCCTCCGCCTCTGTCAAGTCGCAGGGTGAACTCTCTCCCATATCGGTACAGCTCCAACTCATGCCAGTCTCCATCATCCAGGCGATGGTAAGGCAGTGTGATGTTATAGTCTCCATCTCCAAGGTTGTAGAAAACAGCCAGATGACCCTGAAAAACCTAAAAAGCATAGTAATGCTTAATTTAAGATTCTGATGAGGAAGCAACAAAACTCTGCTACTGGAGACTTTAAGGCTTTTGTCTAAAAAGCTGGTCATTTTTGAGCACTTCTTTATGTTAGTGTAAACTTCAAGAGTGTGACTCAAACTGTGAAATGAGGTGACACAAATACTAACTGGATTCCTGCCGTACTGTGCTGTGTTGATGGGCAAAAACAGATTGTGAGCATAACAATATCATAAGAATTAGGCCAGTTCCCACGATGTGGAAAAGGTTGGGTTGTGAAATTTAACTATCTGGACAAGTAGACTCTCCTTGGTGGACTAGCCAGAAAAATGTCGTGAACGTTTCAGTGGTAAAAATTAATTCAGCAATTTTGCAGCCATGATGCTTTTCAGAGATGCCGTACACATCGCTGCATGGCGGAGGCCAGAATCATCCCGAAGGGAAGGTATACAAGAAACAACAATTATCTTCAGCAGTTAAGGATGAGCGAGCAGAATGGACTCAACCAATGAGCGGCTCCCGCAACTGCAGCTTGTACATGTCCACAGCTTAATTGGAAACAGTGGGGCAAGATAATTCACATTCAGCGCAGCCAGCATTAACTATTGCTCCCTCAGCATGAGTATCTCAAATGTGCCTCACCTACTGGTCAAACACACACACATGCACAAAGTAAAGGCTGACTGTGCGCTCCCTATTGCCTCATCCTGCCCTCAAGTCCGCAACAAAAATGAGCAAAGGACTCAATCGATACTTAAAAGGAGAAAAATCAGATTACACAAACTTTCTGCAGAGCCCCCAGAGATCTACGCAATCACCACTTAGCACAAAATCTTCAAGCAAATGTCTAATGCCTGAACCTTCACATTTCAAATCCCATTCAATAATAAAAATGTCAGAGTTTTAAAGTTTTACTGTTTCGGAGGGGTGTGATGATCTTTGACAGTATTGCGGTTCATGTTTGTTACTGCCCCCCCAAAAAAGCTTCTTTGCAGAGTGCATTAGATAAATGTTTTCTTTAAAGAGCCTCCATACTCCTTGGAGAGGTACATGCTGTTTATACCCAGCTAGCCCCTCGTAACCTTTGTGTGAAAGTGTGGTTATTTATTCAGTGTGCACTCTATTCCATATCTACCCTTAAGAAAAAAGGGCAGAGAGGCAGCCCTTTAAATTAGAGTTTGTTGTCAGAAAACACACCAGGATGGTGCTCAAGTGTTTCTAAGAGCTTTGAGACAACTGGGCTGAAAATGTTTCAGTGTGCCGCTGCAGACAGACATCAGATACTTTATACAGCTCACCAATTCAGCTCCAGAGAGGGTTTCACGGAGAGGCTTCACAGCCCACATACAGTAAAGGCTACAGCATTTTCCTTTTCCTGTCACCGCTGCACGGCGGCAAGGGAAGAGGACAACACTGTTTCTCGTCGTGTAGTGTAAAGACCCAAAGAACAAGATTTGATTCTTTAAACAATGCTGTCGGACAAATAACAAGCATGTTTTCAAAGACAGACCAGTGGTGTGGAAACCATAAAAACGGTGACAGGTTCACTGCAAACAGGTGACCTGTGAGTTCACCAAAAGTGGCAGCCCTAACAGAGATGTTTACTTCCAGGTGCTGTTCACAGTTGGCCTGTCAGTGAGTGAGACAGAAGGCTTTGACAACAAACACTGGCTTCATATCCACTCAGGCAAGAGAGGCATGCTATTATGGAGGTTTGGCAAAGAGAAGCAGACTTGACTCGGTGTGAGCACCTTTCCACCCTTGCCGTGGCACAGCAGCAGCATGTATGCAGTCATCACTTTGAGCTGCCCACTTGAACTAAGCTGTGTTGAAACCCTAAAGCTCAGAGCGAGGGATCTGACCTCTGCCTATTACAGTACACATCGTTGTTCTCTTGCCACCCTAAATTGTGCTTCAAATATTAACCAAAGGCAGAAATAAGCCTGAACAGAAGAGGCATCATTTTTTAAAATAGCAATCTCTCAATAGGAGCATTCTGCCGACTTACTGAAAGGCCTTTTTGAGAACATACATATGTCAATCACCAGCCCCCTCTGTATCCACCCCTATGTCTCAAACCCTGGTATTAATCACTCTTAGTTTGACAAGCATTTTCAGCAATCATTGTCTGGGTCCTAATCATCATTTTAAAGCTCATAAACAAGACAATCATGGCTGTCAAGGTTGAGGGGAGTGACCGGTCATGACTCACCTCTAAACGCAGGTATTCGTTCTGCTCCTGGGAAAGCAGGCTGAGGATAACGCCGGTGGCTGCACGTGTTCGCACCCCAACCTCGACACTAGTCTGTCGCGCCGGTAGGGACCAAAGAAGGTGGAACTGAATGTGGCTCCGGCCGTCAAAGGAGAACTCTCGAGCCACTTGTCAATCAAAAACACACAAAGCTTGTTCAATTAATTCAACTGTCATAAGGGAAATACACGAGGTTATCACAGCAAGAGCATGCTGCTCTGCAAAAACACTTTATGTAAGGCAAGGTTATCTTCCCACAGCAGCAACTTTCCAAATTGGTTTGTACACTTTGCAAAGTTTTAGATGTAAAACTGACTGAAAACGTCACGTATCCGGCATGCGTACCTTGATCGCACTGTGGCCCTGTAAAGCCTTTTTCACACAGGCAGCTTAAAGAGCCCCAGTCCCCATGACAGTGACCCCTCTTGCCACAAGGGGAAAGCTGCTCCAGGCTGGCGCAGTGGTCATCAATGAGAGTGCAGCCTGGCAATGTGTTGGAGGATTCAGCAGGGGAACCAAGGTCATATAGCTGAATGTAAGAATAAGAGGAGAAAAATGTGAAGATAGTGAAAATACAGCAACGTTGGAGGTATCTGTCCTTGTAGTTCTAGTGGATGGGATGAAAAGAAACATGACTGCAAAGAACTTTGTGTTATTACCATAAATGAATGAAGGATACTATAGCTTTACATTTGATTTGTTAATTGTTTAATAATGTTAGGTTTTGTATTGTTGATTAGAAATATTTAACCATATATGCTTAGAGGTGTATAATCAATTGTGTAGTGATAGGACTGTGATCTTTAACAGGCTGCAAAGGCTTGGTGTGTATTCCACACTAGAATGCACACCCACATCCTGGGAGCACGAGAGAGGTCGTACCTTCTCTTATTGTTTTATGGTAGGATTAACGTAGCTACGTCTGTTCTAGTCTAAGTGCTTTTTGTTTAGATGAACTGTTGGATTTTCCAGACCAGCAGGTTAAGGGAAGTCGTTTATGGGGTCACACTCTGACCCCACACACACACACAGTATTCTTTGTTCACATGTATACCTATGTAAGATGCTATATGTTAATGACCCTATGCATATTCATGTAACCACAATAAAAGGAGTGCTATGGGGAGCCTGGCTGAGAGTCTGATGGAGGTCAAGTGGTGGGACGGCACTTGGCTCTAGGCAGGTCTCCCTCATGCATGAGTAAACCAGAGAACTTTGGTGCCTTGTGTCTTGCTTTGCTGTGTAATTATATTGTCTTCAACGTTCCAGCGAATAGGTTCAAGCTACAAACCTATCAAATAATATCTTAAATCTTAGCTTTCTTAAAAGTGTTAGTTTTTACACTAATGGTTAGCAAGAGCTACAAATATAATCAGAGGTACTATGCAACACATAAATGCTGTAGAACTGTTGCTAAAGCACAGAAAATCCTGAATCATGTCACACTGATCAATAAAAGATGTACTTGACACCTGGATTTAGGTGGCAGGCACGGTGTCTTATTTCTGCAGACAAAAGCGTTGGCTGCATTAAAATGAAGGCGCTGCACTTTCAGCGGCAAATGAAAGGGTGTAAATTCTTTCAGTATAAAAGTGGTTACAGTCACGGGTTAGTGTTGTCATTACTGTAGTAGCAGCTGTTATCTGTACTGATTCCATGTACTTCTGGTAACAATTCAAAAGTGCTTCCAATACAGTATTAAATACTGCACAGCATGGGGAAGTATGGTGGCACTGTGGTTAGCACTACTGCCTTACAACAAGAAGGTCCCAAGTTCAATTCCACCATCAGGTGTGTAGTTTGCATGTTCTCCCTGTGTTTGTGTAGGTTCACTCCGGTTGCTCTAGCCTCCAAAGAAATAGCAGTTAGTGGGGATAGGTTACTCTAAAATCGCCCGTAGTAATAAATGTTACTTTGCACATTATTACTTTATAGTTTGCAAACTATTCGTTTACTAATTAAGCAATGCAGCATGTGTGTAAGGCAAATACATTTAGATGAACTATCATCTAATACATGATAAAGCATTACAGAGTATAATACTGATAACATTCTTGATCATTACTGGTACATTTACATTTTAAAGACAGAGACACCAGAAGAAAAAGGGATAAGTAACCAACATCAACATTCATAAGGTTTCCCCGCACTACCTTGAGGTCACATTTACATTCTTATTGAAGTGGAGACCTCCATCACCTACACGGCCTGTCATCCGAACAGGTAAACAATAAGAGGTACAGTGCAGTAGTCTATTCACCCATCTACCCAACCAGCTTTATAAAAAGGCTTCATGGTAATGCATATGTGGTAATCTTGACCTGCTCCAGACTTTACCTTGCTGTCCACACGCAGGTTCCTTATACATCCAGTATAGTGTTTGTGCTGTAGCTGGGGATATTCATATGACATGTTCTCATTGATCCCTCCGAGCTGCAGAACATGACTTCCATTGAAATACCTGAAACGCATGCAGAACAAAAACTGAAGAAATCGAGCAGAAGAAAAGGAACCAGGCACAGTACGTTCTCAAGGCTACAATTAAAAACACAGCTCTCAATATAACGAAGGACACAGCAGTCAAACCAATGCATACACAGCACATTGGCCTTTCATGGTAGAGATTCACAGATGATTCTGAATCTTTCTGAGGCTTTCATCACCTTTACATCTTTAGACAACAAATTGTTCCTTTTCTATTATTTTTAAAATATGCATGATGGGTCAATTACATTTGCCTGAAACAACCAACTAATATGCTAACTAATATTCTATAATACTGGTGGTATTTTCAAAACGAGATGTACAAAGTGATCATTTTAGCTTGTTAACCTGGTATCTGACCTGCAAATGTCGTAACTATTAATGTTCCCTATACAAGTCACAACACACACAGTTAAATGCTTCTTAAAGGTTCACAAAATTTAGAGGTTATTACCAGCAATAGCAGCAGTATAGCTCTGATGTGCATTGTTAACTTCAGAAGCTCACAGCTTAATTACACAACATAATAATGAGCACAGTGGCAAGCCAAGGCCGCGATAGGGGGGAGGGGACAAATGTATAGCTGTGACAAAGCGAGCGCCACTATTAACAGAAACATAGTGAAAGATTAGTTTGGCATTTTAAGGATTATATCTGAGGCTTTTATCAACAGCTCCCCTCCTCCAGAGAGGCCTGCTTGGTACACAGAGAAATTGAACGCTCTGAACTCAGACTAGTCTGAGTCACTATCTGATCTCATTTACAAATAATGCTCGTGCATAAACACAATTTCTGATATTATTTATGCAGCATGAAGACTAAAGGTTTTGCATGACTGCAGCATCACATACCAGACATAAACGTATTGTTTTAATGTTTTATTTATTTTGCAGAAATAGAGAAAAAACAGACTGTAAATGAAGTTTTTAAATTGTTGCATAAATGCAATTAGTCTGATTTCCAAGTGATGTGTGTCCAATGGGCACAGACCAAAATGCCTCAGGATACAATCTGATAGACATAAAACTAATCAGAGCAATGAAACATGATGGAAAAATGTAAACAGACTGCAGCATGCAGAAATGCCAGTCGTGAGAGCAATTACTGCCAGCTTGGACAAAGCCGGTTGGAATTCTGCTTGAATGTGACGGGAGCTAGACTCATTCTTCCTGAGTAAATGAAACATGAGCTGCCCGATTTGTCATTTTTCCTGCTAAGATATTGAATCTGAAACATTTAACTGAGTATGAATAGAAAATAAATCAGCAGCAATTTTGATTTTGATAGCAATGGTTTAAATTATTTATTTATTATTTTTATTATTAGTCAAAGCAAAGGATGTATTACAAATGGCACTTTCATAGTAAACTAAGAATCCAACATTAAAATGCTATGAGTTTGCCGGCAAGCAAAGATCAGCCTTTATCTACTAAAGCTGGTCTCTGGTTTCCAATAAGACATTTCCAAGCAGTGTTGACATGATGTACAAACATCCTTATCATTTCAGTCACCTCCCAAACAATGTCAATAGAAGCTTGGTTTTGGTGGAGACATCTTCCTGTTAAAAGGTAGTTTTTCCTCCCTACTGTCACCAAGTACTGGCTCATAGGACAATGTCTCATTGCTTTTTTTAAATAAGGTCCTTAACTTACAGCATTAAGCATCTTGAGCTGCCTGCTGTTGTGATTTGGCACGGCATAAAAAACCCTCTATCAACAATTGTGTGCATTTTTTGATTTTTTTAATAGTATTGTAAACTACTGCTGCTGTTGCTAGAGAACTATTTAGTCCTGTGGAAACACTGGGCATTTAGACACCGTCCCATGGGTCAGGCAGAGTTTTGGGTTTAAGACCAGCAAACAGAATGAATAATTAGCATTTAGGCAAATTTCCCCTGAGAAATTACAATGCCCAACTGTTAAACAAGTTAAACAAGTGCAGCTATTGTATTTTTCTGTGTGTGCACTTGTGTGTACGGTAAATTATAACAGATTAATTGATTATCTCATTATTTATCAGTGGTGTCTTATTAAAACTGGCTCCCTTCAAAATTCAAAGGAACCACTTGATTTGTTATAATGTGCAGCATTGGTCACACTTTCTTTATTTAAATATTGATCTTACTTTCCCCTGTTGGGTGTGACTCCTCGGATTTCACAGGATGAGCGGTCCTCTGTCATTGCCCACGAGTCTACGCCTTCTGTCTCCATGACAATTGCAGTGGAACATCGATCCAGAGTAAAGCGCACTTCCTTTAAATTGGGCAAGAGTGAAGAGAGAGGTCATCTCTAATTTATGTGTAGATGTGTGAGTGTACTGCTGCCTGGCACTCTCTTAAAACTGTGGTGTATATCGTTAGCTTCATAGCATAAGTGCCTAAGTCATTTTTTTGTGTTTTCGTAGGCAGACGGACAGGATGATGCAGCAGTGGTAGGGGAGTAAAGTTAGGCAAAAATCTCAATTTGACCAAAAAATGACTTAGGCACTTATGCTATGAAGCTAACGATATGTATTATAATCTGATGTCTTCTGCGTACTCAGGAAGAAAATGGGGAATACATGCAGAGGGATTTGGCTTGAATGTGCATGTCTTACTTTACTGTTGCTCCTCACATCGAGGCGATGCCAGCGTCTATCAGCCACCCCGACATTATTTGTTAACTGGAGCACCAAGGTCCCAGAACCATGGTTAATTTTCAGGCTAGGCGTCCCTCCAATCAGCTCTGAGGAAGATAATGATGAGCATTTACATCAACTAGTCTAAAAATCAGCATAAAACTAAAAAAAAAATGCAGAATATTACATTTTAAAAATCTAAAGGCGGAGTGAATAAAAAACTGTGATGAAATGCATCACAAACAAACAAAACAGGCAGAAAAAAATGCAAGATGCAAATAACCAGTTTGTGTAGACACAGGAAAAACCCAAGGGATGTATGAAAGCATCTCACTTCAAAACAAAAACACAGTGTGAACCAAAAAGGAGGGTGACGATACAGTAACAAAGCCGAGCTGTACAACGGAATCAAAATTGCACCAGAAACAAATAGCTTTAAAATAAGTTGTCAAATTGTAAACAAAAGCAGCTTAATAGTCAGTTTCCCTGAGTTACTATTCCCAATGAGCTCTGTGCAAGATTTCTGAAATTAGAAATAATTTTTTTTAAATGGTGACACTCACAAATGACACTGAATTCACCTACATATTCACCTAAAATCTGAGAGTTAAATATCTGAAAACCTGAATAAAATATATATGCATGGCTCGATATCAGCAGTGGTAAATTAGAAAGCATGTTTTCTGTAATTTCCCTGAATCAACCCCTTTGAGTAAAATACAAAATTATGGGTTGAGGGAATAGTCATTTGAAACTGTATGCATGTGAGTGCGTGTATCACAGCACAAATATTTATACCATGATGGCGACAGCACTGTAATCCAAAAATACAATTCAGACTGGTTTCTATGGATCTATATCTACTTGAGGAAACTTAATTTATCTGCACAATTACAGCACATAATTTTAATTACATTAACAATAACATGAATCGCTGTAGTAACATCATTTCAGTTTCATTACCATGATTCTTATGATACTGAATCACTTTGTCTAGATGCTGCATAGTGTAACTATAAAGCTTTATGCATAGCTGTCCCAATGCAAAATAACCTATTCACTTTGATGAAATATTTACTGCTGTCCTTCACCTGGCAGATTGAGTTTTGAGCCTCTGTGTCAGCAAGAATAAACCCCACTGATGTGTCCTTGAGTGAGACACTGAAAGTCTATAAGCCTGTTCTAAAGCTGAGCCGCCACTCTGACGCAGGGGGTAAGCAAAACAGAATTCTTTATGGCAGACGGCAAACTATTACATACACATTAAACAGTGAAACGGGGTTTCCTGCATAGTACCACATTAACGGTATAACTCAGTCAAGTGAGTGCTCCTATCTCTCAGTGGTGCACTAATGAACGAAATTTGCCTCGTATATCTGATTAGCTACCACCCAGTAATTAAACACACAAAATTAAGTCGCAGGTTTGAGTGCAGTAACGGCCCAGAGGCCCCTTGGCACACATCTAATTATACAGACTCTTTCTTTACCTATGGCCATGTAGTCTTCACTGTCCCCAGGCATAAGAGTGGCCATCGGGCCGGCATACAGTAGCAGTCCGTCATCTTCCTCAGTCATAAACTCCAGTGAAAGATGGCTATCAAAGCAAGGCCTTATGGGGGGAAACCAGGCATAGCCGTTGCCAAGGAAACTAACTCTCATCTGCTGACAGTCTGGCCCCTCAAGCTGTGGGGGGCACTGGCACCTGTAGCACCAAGGAGAAAAACAGTGTGGAAAATCAAGGGAAAACAAGGGGAAAGAAACAATCAGTGTCATTCAGTTTTGAGTTCGGAGAAATCTTCACGCTGTCCAATCTCTGGATAAGTGCATGGCGACTTTTCTCCGGCATACGTGACAGCTTTGTTGATTCCCGCAGACAGAGGTTTGACTTTGCTCTAACATGCTGGCTGTCAACAGACAGCTGGGAAAGCACTTTTTCAAATTGCATGCATTAGCCACGAAGCCCCAAATGTTCAACTCCACATTAAATCAATTAGCTATGAACACAACATTACTCTGATCTATTCTTTATCTATCACAGCTGTCTGAGCTGAACCCTCTGGAGGGAGTTCCTGCTCAGCACATCACATTTCCTTTGTTGGAAGATAATTATTTCCATTTCTCTCACTTTTCTATGTGTTGAAGCACCACAGATTTTCTCTTAAGGTATTACACACTGGCTGATAACTGTGCAAATGCTTCATCTTGTAGTTATCCACTTTGATTAGGACTTGAGTGGACTGGAAACCGGAAATTAAATGTGTTTTATGATTTTGCTGACTCTGTTTGTGAGACCACAGTGTTAAACATAAATAATCATACATAAATGCCATACAAAGATACACGTAGTAAAGAAAAACAGCTTATTTTTGATGGTGGGGATTGAGGGGACCAGTTGATCTCATCCTGTCCTCTCCACTGCAGGCATGTGAGACAAGCTGGCTTTGCTGATAATGTCAAAGCCATCTATTTTCATGCGGTGTCTGAGGAAAGCTGTGTGTACTGAGACTGTTAAGGGATGTTTCTCCCATTGCTGTTTATTCTGCAGAGGGGCAACACATGTCAGGAATACTGATCCATATGCAGCAAAAGGGGCGGCTTAGGCAGAGTGTAGCCTTATGCATACATATGCACACGCAAAGCACAGTGCACCTCGAGAGTCGTGCCGGTCCAAATCAGGAGGTGCATGGCATGTTTTTCTTACTTCTGACTGACAATATCTGATCAGCTGCTGTCTGAGGTTTCCTGTTAAGCTCCTTTGACAGAGAATAGAAGCAGAAATTGGATTCTTTACGGCTGGACTGCATTCACAGGAGCTCATATATGACACATACAGGGAGATACTCTTCTTACAGAACAAAGGCTCCTTGCAGCAATATACAGATCAATTGGAGCAGAGACAATTTAAAGAAAAGAATGTGTGCACGCTGCTGTTGACAAACTTGCATGCTAACTGAAATTTTAAGAAGTTGTGTGCATAGAGGGGGAAGGGTTAATCCCCTTGCCCTATATATATTTTTTAATCCAAGCACAAGTATGTACATGAAACAAAGTGCATGCTTTTTCTTCGGTGATATATGCTCACAGAGACCTACACCTGAATATTGACTGCAGACATTTATATATAAGGTTAAATTCAAAGTACAGGTCTATAACCTTGATGCCGAGGTTAGACTCATTATTTGCATCCTGGCAAGATAAACTCAGACTTCAGTTTTCAAAATCACGTGCACACACTCAAACATTGATTCCACGGTATAAAGGCAAGCCTTTAAAAAAATGATGTAACTGCAGATTTAGCTAACAATACAGCCGAGCTCCTCAAGACTTTTAGTTCTTTTCGTTGCAGCTGAAGAAGATTTTTTTCACAGGGGACCCACAGTAATTCTGGGCTCAATTTCCAAGGTATCACTCTAACGGCAAATCTACTAGGACTAGAAAGAAGACTGCTGCTCTTATTTCCGTTAAATATCTTTTAAGAGCCTATTTCATCTTAAGTTCTTTACAACTGCAGAAATGCCTCTCACCTGTATCCGTTCTGCGTGTCAATGCAGGTTCCCCCATTAAGGCAGGGGTTACTGGAGTAGGAAGAGCAGCGTTGATGGGTCATTTCTCTGGCAGCGCAGCCACACACAGCCAAGGATGTTACTTTCACTGAGACCAGGGATAAAGCACCCGAGTCTATCAAGGTGGGTGAGTCACTGATGCTTAACTGTGTGGAGCAGCCACCGGATGTCTTGCAATCGGTGTGCACGCACTCATCTACTTGCACCTGGTGCACGTTCGCACGCAATACTGACTGCAGCTGCAGAGAGGAAAGGAAGAGCGCAGCAGATGAGTGAGACAAAAATGAGAATTACAATAATTGTGGCTGAAGATAACAGGGATTTGTATCACCGATGCCGGTGGCGCGCGGGACACGCTGATTTACACTTGGCGAAACAAAACAGCTTCACGAGAAATGCAAAAGAGCAAGGCAAGGCCTTCATCATAAATATTTTAATATTCTAACTGACTACTGTTAAAGAATCATGATATGTCACTGGGTATGACAGATGAATCACAGCGATGCATAATGAACACATGGACGAAAGAGGGCAAGACAAAGACAACAAATAAATGGGAGAGACAAAGAGACATGACAGGGGCAGGCAGTAAACAGACACAAAGTTGGTGTGAAAATCAAAGGGCAGATAAAAAGCTGCTGGTTTCCCTCAAACTCCCGAGTGTATCACTTGATATACAAGCACCGATGACTATCTATCCTACGTGATAACATATGTACCTTCTTTTTATGTGCGTCGAGGACACCGTGCAGCTTCTCTGGGCGCAGGTAGCCATTATCAGTTAGCACATTGAAGTGGATGTCCACAGTTTTTTCGTCTCTGTCTGCGATGCTAAAAACGTTGATACTCCCTGGTCTGACAGACAAGGTTTCAGACAGGAAGTCCCAGAACGCCTCGAGCCGACTCTTCCCCTCGACACGAGAGTCGATAAAATCTTTTGCTGTAATGCCTTCAGGAGACAAAGAGAAGGGAGGTTCGTGAAATAAGAACTACTGACTTGTCAATGACAACTACAGAGTTGATCAAAGTCTACCAAGTTCCTGATTCTATTAGCGTGAGACGTAGCCGAACATCCTTCTCTATTGATCCTATTTCCATTCTGAGTCATCCGTAAGGCAAATGAATCATGATGCACATAACACAAATTGTTTACTTTTTCACCGAAACAATGTTAGAGTCTTGACAAACTGTCTCGAACAGGATATTTTAATGACCGCGAAGGCAATCACATTTGGCGTTTCACCTTCCAGTGATATGTGGAGAACGCGAGCAGTCACCTTTAATATCCCAAAAATGGTAACAACCTGGAATCAGGCGCATCCATAACAGCCTTTGACTCTGTTTGCTGAATGACTTTTTAAATGTCAAGGACTTTACCTGACACTTCCAAACTGACCTTTATAACTCAAATGTACTCTGAGAGACTGTCAAAAAATGAACACTCTGACATAAACTTTAGAATGTTGAAGAAGGAGGAGGAAACGATTATCAACAAGCAGTATGAATGGTTGCTTTACAATGCTTAGAAATGTTAAATAATGCAAGTATAGAAAATTCTTTTGACAGCATATTATTTTTGTGTTAACTGGATTGACAACCTGATAATCATTCAATGAAAAGTACCAATTTATTCTTGCCTGTGGGAGATGCTGTCTTTTTCAACATCAGCCTCGAACAAGAATTTAACAGCAACAACAAAGAGCATGCTTTTTTTTGTCTGCGGAGGATGACTGAGAACAAGAATCCAATTGAAAACTTATTGTTATATAATTTTTTTTACTTATAGTCCTGGGGTCACGTACAAGGTGCAATCAAAATGTTCAGTTACTCAGCCCAAAATCAAAAACCTCCCATTATAGTTAGTCTCCTTGGGCATTACCATATTGCCTTTGGTGTGGCAGATATTTTTAGCTTGCTCCCTCAAAGTCCAGCTCCTGTCCCTAGTATGTGCTAGAGCTGGCCAGAGAAAAATCCTCAACTTCATCTTTAGGTTAAGGATAACCATTAACCCCATGACCAGAAGGTTGGGGGTTCAAATCCAGCAAACAGCTACTCTGAGGTACCCTTGAGCAAGATACTGTCTCTACACACTGCTCCCCCAAAAGATTTCCACCATGTGGGACTATAAGGGGGTTTAAAATAAAACAAAAAAAGTTTAGCTAACAATGCTTAAAATACAAACTGGACTGTTAAAAAAAACAAAACTAACTGAAATGAGTTTGTGATGGCTGGAAAACTAACTAAAAAAAATAAATATAGTGGAATGAGTTTTAGTATTTGTTAGTTTCATGTAATTTTATCACAACATGTCTGATGAAGCTTTTTTGGATGTCTAATGAGAGACTGAGAGTAAACTGCCTGTACTGATTTTCCTAAATCTGGCCTTGACAAATGCCCTCCATGCAAAAGTAAATTAAAAAAAATGAACTAAAACAAATTATTTTAAACAATAAAAACACTGAGCTTAAATGACAAAATCTACTTTGGAGACAGAAAAAAATCCAAATGAAATAAGAATAAAAGGTTAAGAAATACAAAACTGAAATAACTTTGGTAGGTGCTGTTAAATGTTTCAATATTCATGGTACTGTGTAGCAAAAATTGGAACTTTTCCATATGTAAACACTGAGTGGAAATTACAATTGTCACACTTGAACTTCTGCAGCTGTGCTATGCCGTCTATTTTCCTCTTTTTGTCATAGCAACATGTTTGATTCTCAGATTTGTTACATTTGCCTCCCTGCGACTTGGACCACTTCCCCAAAATGAAATTTGAAAATAAAATTGGAAGGACGCAGTTATGATAAACTGTAGGAGATCCAGTACACATCATTAATGCACAAAAGCAAATGCTCACAACAGAGTGATATTAAAAGAGCAGCTGTGCTAGAAGCGATGTGGTGCTGCCCAAACAGGCTACCTATGAGGTTAGAGCAAGTCAATTTGAATCAGCTATGTGCTTTGATTTTTTTAAAGGTGGAACATTTTGATCACATGCTGTACTGATGAAACAGGGAAAACAAAGTGCACCACATGTCTACCTGCTGTGCCGAAGGCACCCAGGGATTCAAAATTAACCCACAGCATTCATGCCAACATTTAAGTCAGTGTTTGTGCAAATGCTACCGGTCAAACGCAGTGAGGCAGACGATAAGATGGCCTTTTCCTCCAGCTCCCAGACATGAACTCTGACTCCTGAGATTACATCAGGCCACACACCATCAGACACCTCAACCCTCAGCCAGTAGCTGCCACCTGGAATGTTCTGTCGCAGGCTTAGCTCTCCTGAGCTCTGGTCCACACTGAAGTACCTGAAGAAACAAATGAAAGCTGTAAAGTAGGAAACTGTTGCTTCAGTATAAAATGAGAGAAAGAGAAATTCAAAAGCAGGGTTTCTTTTGTTTCTTAGCTCCCGTCTGAAAGATATATACGAAACAGATGGCAGACAGACATGTAGAAAATTGGTCAGTGGTACCTGGGCTCACTCCAACAGGAAGTGAATGCAAATTAATGTTAAAAAACAAAAAGCCCAGAGAAACAGGTAAACAAAAAGTGCCAGGAAAAAAGACAGACGAGAAAGGAAAATGTTTCTGCTTGAAAAACTCATGAAAGGGCTTGATAGTTGTCATGGTAACTGTCAAAATTTGTTATATGAATAAAACAAATATGCAATTGGTATTTCTAATCTGATCTTAAGGGTGTGAACACTGAATAACTGCACGGTTCTGCAAGGTTCCTACGAAACAGCCTAGTAAGAAGGGCTGTTTCATCTAAGGAACATAACACAAGTGGATCAAGGATTGCTTAGGTTTTTTTGCTGGGGGTGTTTTTTAATCTGATTGTATATTCCAGAATATCGATCAGCTTGCATTAGAGGCCAAGGAAATAAGATTAGGAGGATTAGGAAAAACTAACTGTGAGACGGGCCCTTGTTAGCAATGCGCCTACAGCATTTCTTTTAGCCCACATCCTCTTTATTTTACAGTTTGGCAGTTCTTCTGATACATTATTACGTTAGCACTTGTACCACTGCTACACACTGGGAGATCAGCATGTTTTCAGAGAACATTAGATGCATTTAACAGTGAGCTCTTACTTAGCTGCACTCGTCTCCAGAGTGTAGGTTTTGTTGTCCCAGTCATCTGGATCTGGGGCATATACCTTCCCCAGTGCTGCATTCGCTATCCTTCCTGTTCAAGGTAAACACACACACACTGACTCAGTCTGGACAGAATCTGCTGATGCCAACACTTATCTTTTTCGTCCCTCTCTTCTCCTTATCTTGCATCCTTGTGTTCTGTTCTACTTATTATGCTCATAACTGTGGAGTCCCACTGCTGGAATGAATAGGCTCTCAGTGCTCCACTTCAGAGAGCGTGGAGCTTAAGGAAGCGAGGCTATCTCAGTATGGATTATGTTATTATCGACCTGCAGTGCCAGAGTACTGCAGCTGGGTAAACAATGGCAGCCTGGATGAGTCACGCTGCTCCTGTTTTCCACAATTACCAAAAATGTCATGTAGCTGAGTGTGTGATCAAAACACTAACAAGCCAATGTGCCTAACCAACTTACCTGGAGGGTAGAAACACTATAAAGAAATAAGAATCATGATTCTTATCATATTGTGATGTTCAGATGAGCTTTAGGCATAGGGTTGGCAGGGGAAGACTCTGCTGGGAGCTTCAGAAAGGATGTGACAATGATATTACCATAAGAAAACACTGCTAGAATGTAATAGAAAGAAAGCAATTATGAATTCCAGACTACTCTAAGCACGTATGGTGGTGAAAACTTTCCCCTAGAGCTGTAGTTTCAGTTTTCCCTCTTGACTCAAGCTCTCCTTGCGCTGTAAAACAAAAAATCAGGGGCAGAAAGAAGAGAACAAGCATCTCACCCTTGTAGCTATGTACGTAGACATCTTTCTCTCCTGCCTGATGGGCGTTATCATTATGATCGGCAATAGTGATGGTGAGAGTGTTTGTGGCTGTCATCGGTGGCTCGCCGCTGTCAATCATAATAACAGGCAAGTGGAACTCACTCTGCCTTTCCCTGTCGAATCTCCGCAGAGCGGTGAGCGTGGCAGAGCCATTCCCATGGTCCTGTAGGTGGAAGTCAGTAGAGTACACAGAGGGCAGGGAGAGATAAAAAGGAGGCCCTTGCTCTGGGGAGTCTTTGTCAGTGACATACAGAAGAGTTGAACTCCTATTGAGCCAGACCACTTGAGGCACTGGACTGTTCTCCCACAGCATGGGAATGTAGGCTGTCTCCAGCTCTGGCCCGTTGTCATTCACATCTAGCAATGGCAAGCGGACCGTGACACTGCCACTCAACGGCGGGGTACCCCGGTCTGTCGCCATGACGACCAGCTCATAACCTGCCACTGTCTCTCGATCCAGCGGCCTAGCGACTGTGACCACACCTGCACCGCTGACTGCAAAATGTCCATACGGGTCTGACTCGGGGAGAATACTGTACGAAATGTCACCATTCGGACCAGAGTCGGAGTCAGAGGCCACAACCTGGATGACGCTGGTTCCTTCAGTTACATCCTCCGGCAAAGGAGACAGCAGATACGAGTCTGGGGTAAAAACAGGGGCATTATCATTCTCATCCTCCACCAGAACCAGACAGTGGATCTGGCTGGAAAAGTCAGTGTCCTCCACTTTGATGGTGAGGTTAAACCTTTGCTCCCCTGGCTGCTCAAAGTCCAGCTTTTTCTTCAGCCTCAGAGTGCCGCTCTGCTCCAGTCTGTGGCTAACCATGTAAAATCTCTGCTCAGGGTCTCCTGCCATCACACTGAAGGCCAAATGTCCGTATGAGCCGGCATCGGGATCCACAGCACTCAGCTCCAGGATTGGAGCGTCTTCATTTGTGCTCTCAGGTACACGAGCGCCGCACCAGTCCTCTCTAAACTTTGGCACATGGTCGTTGATGTCCGTCACCACTATAGTGACGGTAGCTGTACCCGTCATGCCGCCACCATCCCGAGCCTCTACCACCATACGGTGCGTGTCGGCATGCTCACGATCGAGCCCCTCTGCTGCCACAGAGATGGTCCCAGTGCTGGAATCAATCATGAAAAGATCTGCACCGTCTGCGTTTTGTGAATTTTCCGTGATTTTGTAGGTGAGGATTGCATTTTGGCCTACGGCTGCATCATCAAGGTCTACAGCCATCATTTCCACAACTAATGTTCCAGGAGGGGAGTTCTCAGCTACACTGCTGTGGCAGTTATCAGGCGCACATGAAAAAGTGGGGGCGTTGTCATTGATGTCCCACACGTTGATGATAACATCCGTAAAGCCGGTAAGTCCCTCGCCCTCCTCGTCAGTGGCCATGACAACAAAGCGCCAGACAGCACGCTCTTCTCTGTCCAGGGTGTGCTGGACGTACATCTCCCCCGTGATGTCGTTGATCATGAAGTGTGACTCCGCCCCTTGGCCATGAATGGAATACCGTATGGCACCCTGGTCTGCATCTTTGTCTGGGTCAGTAGCTGTCACCTGCAGAGATAAAGACAACTTCCTGAGAAAATGGATATTCATTCATCCAGTCAACCCCAAATTACTGCTTCCTCTTATCTCACCTCAGCCGTCACCCAAATCTTCTTTGCTTTCGGATGTTTTTAGACAGCCCATTTAAGTGTTTGCACTTTTCCCTGACCACCCAAATTAAAGCAATAAGCTCTGATCAGGCATGTTTCTTACATCTGGCCTCGGAGTAAGTCTGACAGCTGCACTGCTGAATTTGCCCGCACAACATCTATCTCTGTAACTTAAATGAAATTTCTAGAACATTTTAAGCTAGGGTAAAGCACTAACAGTAGATAAACTGAAATAACATGTCACATTTTAAAATTGTGATCATTACTTAGCCGCAGCTATGGCCACACTAAGAAGGCGGTGTTTTAAGGATTATTACAGATGCTTAAATTACAGTAATTACTGAAAGAAGCACAGTATGTGTGTAGCCTCGTACCTGTAATACAAACACGGGTGACCCATCAAGCTCCTCTGTGACAGATCCGTAGTACTCATTCATGGAAAACACAGGCGCCTCATCATTCTTATTAACCACAGTAACTACCACCGCAGCGTAGTCTTCCCATTTCCCATCTGAGGCGAGAATCAGAAGCTTGTACCTCTTCTGCTGCTCATAGTCCAATGGCTGTGCAATAAAGATTGTCCCAACCTCTGGCTCGATGTCAAAGACACCACCTTTGTTGCCAGATGTTATCTGGTAGCGCAGCTTGGCGTTGGCCCCTGCGGCAGGAATTAAAAATGCATGTTTGAAAATGTGTTTAGTATCATTTTTACAATGTAGTAGAATTCACAGTGGGCTTTGTTCATGTCATTATTTCTTAAATCTCTGCATGCTGATACCTCAGTATTGTCCCTTTTCATTTGTTGTTGCATTCCTCCAAAAACAAAAGGGTGTAACCACAAGGGTATTACACCTCATTTCCTCTCAGACCTGACTATTAGTAGGTTTTCATGTCTTCCTTTCTTCTTTTGATTACTTAATTAAATGGAAACTTTGTACCTCGTCTCCCTGGCTTTAATCAGATACTAATTAAAAAAAAAGAGTGTCGAAAAAAGTAAAAGGGAACATGAGAGCGAAAAGCAGCATAATGCGCTCTGATAGTTCTCCCTAGGGAATGATTGTGAGGCTTGGGAGAGGGTGGGGGGAGGATTGTAGTTTAGTGGCAAGGAAGTCAATATCTGAAGCTATGTGTTGTGTCTCTATGGTCACCACCCGGTGTGGTGGTTTAATACTGGAATATTTAAGATAATCTCCTGCAATGTACAGTCTTTGCTTTCAATCATTTTGTTGGGTTAAAGTAGCTTCAATCCCATGTAAATACACTAATCTGTACTATTAACACAACCCTTACTGACAAAGTGCTCCCTGTCTCCCACAGGGCCCTGGTAGGCTTATTGCGGCCAAACCCAGGGTGGAGTTTTTAAACAAGACAGATTGAGTAGAGCCTCTTAGGCACAAGTGCAACAGTATTGTAACTTTAATGTTGGTGGTTGGAGTTATTCCACAGCTATTCATCATTAGTGCTGCAGCCCAGCCTAAGCTGCACCCCCGCTCCCCATAAATACTTGATTAACGGACCTAAACATGTCTGATAAAGGGATCTTAGGCTACTGCTATACAGAGGATGAGCAACCGCTTTATTGCTTAAATCCCACCCACCCACTGTGTGGGAGCGTGTCACTCTTTTTGGAACATATGTGCCACAGTGCATTACTGAGCACTTAAATGACTACTAAATCTAGCACACTGCTTGATTTCAGCAGCATGATTTCAGCAGAGCTCAGACCAGATTGGAAAGGACTGCCCACAGGGTAACTTTATGAATACTGCTACAAATGAGGACCTATCTGAAGTAGTTTTGCTGTTTGCAGAAAGAGCCTGGCCAAACTGCAAACTGGAAATGTCTCTCTCTCTCAAAACCCCCCCACCCTAAATATAAAATATTGGTTGTGGTTGGCTAGCTTCTTTAACCTTTATTTCTAGAAATCGGAATCAGTAAAAATGCCACGGGACTCAATCGTTCTGATGTCATTTCAAACTTACCTTCATCCTCGTCATTAGCGCTAACAGTGACAACAGCCAGGCCCACATCTGCATTCTCATCAACGCCGACTTCATACAGTCGCTGAGCAAACACCGGTTTGTTGTCGTTGACGTCGCTGATGAAAACTCTCACATACGCTGTGTCTGCAAGAATGACAGAATGGCAGAAGATTAAACGGCATGCACAGCTCACACACATACATACTCGAACCACTACTGTAAGTGTGTTACTCTCATTCCATCTGTTTATTGATTCTACAATTCATTGTCACTGTTTAGTGGGGAAGAGGTACTTAACCCAGCACAATGTTGCTCAATGACGTATAAATTAGACAAAACATTACTCACAAAGATCTGCTGTAAATTACATGAATTATTCATTTTGTCAAGAGTTTATTCTTTTTACAGGGGGGACAGTTCTGAAGAGAAAGAGTAACAATAATGGGGCTAAACCTCGTCAACGAGCTACTTTCCTTTTTTTTTTAACCGAGCGCAGATAACTAGGAAGGTTAAATATTTATAAGATGACAAGTGTTTGTGTCTTATCTGTGGGCTCCTCATTACATTGTTTATTCCTTTAGTTAAAAAGAGTAAATTATCTGCTCACAGAGCACATGGGTGACATGTTTATTTGGAGCTGCTGCAGTAAAAGATGGCGGAATGTGGCTTTATTTTCTTGGCTTGTTTTTGCATTTGCCTCCTCCGTTTGGTGCATCCCGGGGGTAACAGAGAGACAGGTAATGTTTGCAGGGGAGATGAGCCCTTCTGGATGCGGTAGATATGTAGACACAACTAAGGCTCATCGCAAATGCTAAGCAGCCCTGGCAGCCTGAAGAGAGGGTTTTGCTACTCCAAAACACCACCCGGCACTCCTAACACCTCCTTCACAAACAGAGGCAAATACCCCCGTCTAAATACAAATGTCATAGGACGTCATTCTAAACACAGATATTATTACTGCGGAAATGTCACACTGTGAACAAGGTAAACAAACAAAGGCCTTTCTGGTTAAATTGTGAAATGAGAGAGTTAAAAAGGGGAAGAAATAAGGGATCGCTACAAGAAAGAGAGTTGGAAGAAATCTCTGAGCTATTTTCACATGGAAGAGAGTGTTGCTGTCTGGTCATGGCAGTAGAATAAATCAAATTAAAATTCACTTTTCAAAGTCAATCCCAAGGTGTAAATGAATGTATTGCCAATGCAGCCTTTTTAAAACACAGTGCACAGAGGAAGCACTCCTCACAGTTTAGAGTTACAGAGTTTCAGTATTGCCCTGTAGGCATATAGGGAAAGAACAATGCTGCTTTTTATGAACTGAACATCAGACCGGGGCAGAGGTCACCCTAAAGTTAACTCTGCCAAGTTATAAAGTTCCTCGGAATGCCACAGTAGTAAAAAAACAACATATTTTTGCATCAATTTAAGGCACAGGGACACAATGAATCGGAAGTAGCTGTCGCTAATTATTTATGTCATTGTAACAAAAGAGTAATTTACACAAAGCTGGATTCTCAATTGACTTAATTGTCTGGAATAGTTTGACATTTTGGCACACACGCTTTTTCTTGTATAGAGTCAGACGAGTCGATTGAACCCATCAAGTCATTATGTTAAATACAAAGCAAGAGACAGCAGCTTGATACTTCAGCTCTAAAAAACATTCAGAAAATAAACAACCACCAACATCTGTCCAAAGGTAAGAAAAAAAAATCACCTAGAAGGACCCTGAAAGTGTAACAAAAAAATCTAAAAAATGTAACAGTTACAGATTTTTGTGGAATTTATGTGCCTGCTTCTTTCTGGCTGTGTGCCATAACAAGTTTTTGCACAGAACAAATCAAATATAACATTTTAATTAGTGAACTCTAGGGGTTATGATAAGCAAATTAGCCAGCTAGTGCAGCCCCGAGCAGCTACAGCATTAGACTCAGGTAAATTGAACATTAACCATGTAATCCAGTGCTGTGCTGGGAAATCGTGGGGTCCTGCCATTCATTTCGATGTAATTTTGACACATGCCAATCATCATGAAAACATTGTTGAAAACCTTGCACACTCCACTCCCCATGGATATGACAAAAGCTTTGACTTGGCCTCCCAACTCCCTAGATGCCACTGCGATGAACCATTTATGAGGCAGGCCAGAACAATCCGGAACAAACCCAGTCTATGGAGGCCCTAGCCTGCAGCCTAAGACCCAAAAGAGTTAGGGCTGTGTTAGTGAATGATGATGATGAAGGGGAATATTTGATAGCTCACTAATTAAAGTGATTTTTAGCTCATTTCCACATTGATGATAATTATAACAAATTTAATTTGCCTTGCTTTAGATTTATGTTGCATCTCCACATAGTATATCCAACACTCTGGCTGTTTATGTGCCTTTTGAGATGTGCAGAGACCAGTTCATGCTTGGACTTTTGCACGCTTAATTGTGTGTTAAACAGGTAGACTGATCCATCATCACCAAGTGAGATGAAACAGGATATTTCTGTCTGCTGGTTTGATTTTTAGATTTGAGCGTAACAAAACTGCACTAGAAGAGATACTTGTTTATTTTATCTCCTTTACTTTTATTTTCACGGGTGTTTATGCCGGTGAAAAACGCAGGGAGGGCGAGACAAAGAGGGGAGGAGAGACTGGTGAGCCATTTTATACATATAAAACAGACTGGATGAGTTAGCAGAACTGCCCAACGACACACACAATATACTGTATATATTTAAATATATTTTTTGAGCTTATTTATAATGTTGCCAATAATACATCGGTGCAAGAATAGTTGCTTCAGATTTTGAATTTGCCAAACATGAAACTACTTTAATGAAACTGGACAAGAGTTTTAAGTCGAGATAAAAACTTTTTACCCATCCAACTATCCAGTCACTCACTCTTAAAATTTCTCACCTGTGTTGGGCTGTTTGTACTTCCCAGGTCGAGCTGACTCTTGGCCATCTTCTGACTGAACCTCCAGTAAGTAGGAGCTACGGGCCTCACGGTCAAAGACAGCTTCTGTGTAGATAATCCCAAGTTCTGGGTCGATACGAAACAGATTATGGTCCCCACTGCTGTCACTCAGCAGAGAGTAAGTGATCTGTGGAGCACAGGGAATTTGAAAATTAAGCTAAAGTAAAGTTTCAAGCAATAACCTGCAGAAACAGCAGAAGTTACAGGCTCTGTAGCTGAAAATGTCAAGAGGGCTAAGCAAATCAATACGCTCCATTCAACCAATATCGCCACAATCAGTGAGACAGCTGATGAAACAGCTCCCAAACCCACTTCAACAAAACTTTGAAAACAGTGGAACAAAAGCTTCCACGCTGGTGGGATTGTTGTGTGATGTTACATAATGCTCTTTGTAGTGTAAATGGATGCTTTAGCAGGGAAACAGCAGTCTCTAGATTTTTGTAAAATTACTCCATTTTGCCATACCTTCACAAAATGATCATAAGTGTATAACCACAAACCTCTCCATTAAGGCCCAGGTCTTTGTCATGGGCGGATACTTGCAGAACTGAAGTCCCTATCTGGGCTCCTTCGGTCACTGAGGCCTCGTAGATGGAGGATGTGAAAAACGGTACGTTGTCATTGACGTCTTAGGATAGAAATGACATAGTCACCGTGACAATGTGTTAATTTCCTGATACCACTCACAATATCCTTTTTCTGCATTCAGAAGTGTAACCACTGATATTTTCTCAAAAATGAAATGAAATATGAGAACAAGAGAACAACACGTTCACCGCAGCAGCTATAGAGGTAAATAACTTCTCTTTAGGCAAGACCAAGTAATCCCTCTTATAAGTAATTAGAATCTGTTTTTACTTTTTAAATAGGTTTTAATACTGTGCCAATTTTATATTGTGTATTTATCCCCAGTGTGCTGCTTGTTAACTTCTTTTGTCTCTGAAGCTACATGTGCAAATATACATTATATTATATTAAATATAATATAATATACACTGTTCCAAAAAATAGTAATGTCAAAGTATCTTACTGTATATTTTACAGTTTTGTATTGTCTTTCTAGAATATCATTAAATTTACATAAGTAGACTGTGATTTTACATGTCAAAGGTAAGATAACATAACATCACTGTACATATAGTAAAACACAATTTACATGTTTTTTAAATATATATTTTTGTACATATGCATATTTAGATTGTAAAAATACATTCAGAAATGTATCATAATTTCACAAATATTTGTCTGTTATGTGAGAAAATGATCTCTTAAATTCAAATGTAATACTATGGAAAAATATATAAAATGATCGAAAATCAATGAGAATAATAATTAAAGGAGTAATTTTGCGGGAAATGTCATGTCATCTAGGTCTGATTCAGTAATTCAGAGGTAACCAGTGAAAATATAATTAATATGAATAAAAACAAAGAAAAACATATAAAACATTGCACGGCCAACGCTGTGCTAATTATATATTTTAAAAAATAAATGTAGAGGTAGGAATTGCAATTAATATAAATCTCAAAGTATTCACAACATTCCTGAACAGAAATAGGCCTCTGCACCTAGAGTGAGGGTGTGGCCATGAAAACAATGTGACATGCCATTGGATGTTGGGACACATAATCATCGGTCAATGAATGTGAACTAACAACCACAAGGTCGCGGGTATGGCTGTACTGTAGGGAAGAATCCTAATATGAAAGTATTTTCCTGCATTTCACAGTTTTGTTCTGTTCTTCTAGAATATCGTCAAAGTTACGTAAATAGACTGATTTCCCATTTCAAATGTAAATTAATGTTAAATCACTGTAATGTAATAAAACATAATTTTCATGATTATTAAATGTATCTGTCTGTACATATGCATATTTAGATTGTTAAAATACATTCACAAATGTATCATGATTTCACAAATATCTGTCCGTTATTTGAAAGAGTGAACTGTTGAATTCAAATGTAATGCTATGGAAAAGTATATAACATGATTCCTATAAGCTTGTGTTACATCACATAAGTATTATTATCATTGCTATTTAGGGCGATCGTGGCTCAAGAGTTGGCAGTTCGCCTTGTGATCAGAAGGTTGCCGGTTCGAGCCCTGGCTCGGACACAACACCGTTGTGTCCGTGGTCAAGTCACTTCACCTACCGCCTACTGGTGATGGGCCGATGGTGCTACATGGCAGCCTCGCCTCTTTCTGTCTAAATGTATATTTCTGTACATTTACATATTATGATTCATATTGCCACATTCATTGACCGTGTTTATAGGTAATTTCATTGTTTGATCACGTTAAAATGTTCCTAATCTAAAAGCACTTGGAAAAGGCAGAATCCCATGTAAATTAGCGCAACAAACTGTATTGTCATTACTGGAAATAACCGTATTTTTATGAGGAAGTTATTTTCTGTTATTTTACGGTAGTATTTTGGCGCCCCAGCTGCCGGAATATTACTGTTTTTTAAGATGTTTTTTTAACAGTGTAATATAATATAATACAATATAACATAATATAATATAATACCAATTAAAATGTACTCAGACACAGTTATTAAATAAATTAATTAACATACATTTCAAGAATTTCCATAAAGTCTGCTGATGTAATGGTGAAATCTATTCAATCAATTAATTATATCAAATGACAAAGACAGCGAGACATGTACCTGTAATATTCACATAAACTCTTGTGAAAGCTGCAAGCGGCACTGCAGCCACATTTTGCGCCCGGACTTGAAGAGAGAAAAATGGTGTGGTCTCATAGTCCAGTGGCTCGGACACCAGAATGGACGCAGAACCATCTTCCCGGTTGGGAGAGAGGTAGAAACGGACAGGCATGTTGGTTTCAGGGACCATCCCATCCTCGAGGTTGTAGGTCACTCTTGGGTCACCCAACTGAGACGTTGCCTTGACTGTCTGAATAGCATCAGAAGTTACATCATGACTGTCTTGAAAACCTGGATTTTAGGTAACAAATCAGTAAGGACTAGCTCCTGAGGCAGAAAGTGATAAATGGAGCATACATACATCTCATGATAGAGCAAACATCTATCATCTATCATGAGCAAACATCTCATAATAGGAAAAAAACCATCAGCGAGTTTATGGATATGTAGCTGATCGCTCAGCTTATATAATATCATTCTACAATCTTGCTATGCAAATTTGGAAAACATGTTTTTTTGAGGAGTACAGGCATTCAGGAGTCCCCTGAATGACTGCTAATTTCACGGTTAAATCACTGCTCAATAATATGAGGTCAATGAGTCAATCCAAGAAATAATTAAAGCATTTAAGCACTTACAGCTAGACATCTTTAAATCTCTGGACAAATCATAGAAGAAAATTATTCTATATTAATTAGTTAGTTTTAAAGATGGTAGTGAGCATATTTTGTAGTTTTGGACAGTTTGTGAAGGACAGCAGGTCTAATTATTGATGTCATCCATAACAGGCTTAACTAAAATGTCTGGTTAGGAGGAAATCATGTTTAACAATTTCATGTGTGATTTTGTATAGTCATCCATCCATCTGTCGATATCTTTCTATCAGTAACTAAATAATTAAAAAAAATAGTAGTGAAAGGCTCATGGTCACGTTTTCTTTTTTTAATATTACGTTTTTTCTGTTTTTTAAGTAGTTCCATAGAGTGACTCTTACTTGTAGTCTCACTGTGTTATCTCAGTACTTTTTAGTCTCTGAATTCTTTTCCCATTACTGGGCAGATTATATTAGCCATTTTACAGTGATTAATTATAAACACTTAATCAGAAATCAGCCCCTGAAAATGTTCTGTCCCCTCTGTGTTGAGAGTTAAGCTCCACCCCTGAGCTGATGGGCACATTTTCTAACTTTACACAGAGCCAGGTTAGCTGTTTTTTGCTTCTTTTGCTGAGCTAAGCTTACTAGCTGCAGGATACAGCTCTATAACTAACTCCCAGAGATTGAGTGCTATCAGTCTACTCATTCAAGTCAAGACAGTGTCAAGTCAGCATATTTCCTAAAATGCTAAACTACTTTTTCCTTTGAGATTGGTCAAGTAACGTTTGTTCACATGTGACAGGTTATAAGCGGTCAGACTGCAGTACGGGTCAGCAGCCTGAACGAAACACAGGTTATATCAAATTCTGATTAAATTTTTGCTTCAATGACTGATTATCTAAGAAAGACATAGCGTAGGATGAAAGTCAAACCTGCTGCCTGAGTCCTAAAATAACCTCTTATCAAGAAGCCTTTTGAAGACCTTGAACAAAAGGACTTTTTTTCCATCTCAGATTGACAGCTATAAATTTTTCACATCAAAGGAGACATTTTCAATGAATTTAATAAGTCTAGTGTCATAAAATTTGCCAAGCACATGGGATTCAATGTCATCTTTCTGCTACAGCATCACATTAGAACTCTTTTACAGGTTTTTCAGCACTGAAGAACCTTCTGAGGCACATTTAAGCTCAGTGTTAGCAGTATGTCTAAATAATGGTCAAATTGCACTGATTCAGGTAAGCAAGCATTCATCTAATGTAAACAGCAAATAATAAGATTAATAAATAATAATAATGATAATAATGATAAAGGGAAACAAACATTGTAACAGAAATTGAAGTTGCTTGCATCCTTACCACTATGGGCGTGTCCCTGGCAGTGTTTTCAGGGATGACAACACTGTAGCTTTCTTTTTCCCACTGTGGAGGCTGGTTCTTCACATTGGTGATGGTGACTGCCAGCTCCACAGAAGTGCTACGATTCCCACCATCAGTTGCTATGATATCCCTTGTAATATAGGTCCGCTGTGAACAAAGGGAACAGTTCAATGGGGGAAATTATCATCATATTTGATGTTGAAATGATTACTACCCTGAAGTAAGATATTACTTTAATCTTGTGACTCTCAGTGAGAAAATTAGGCCCTGTTGACACTGTTAGCAGCAACTACCACAATGCCAGGTTTCCGTGTTTATATCTATCTGTGCAGACGTTTTAGCTGCATTATAAGTGACATTAAAAACTTTCACCATCACCTCTTTGATTATGTGTTTACTCCTTTATTAATTACATATAGGTCCAGAAATGTTTGGACACTGACATAATTGTCAGTTTTTTGTCTGTACTCCACCAAGTTTTAAGGGTCTACAAACATGTTTCCTTTACTGCTTTGAAATTAGTTAGTCGTATACACAGTCACCTGTTGTCTTGGGTAAAACATCATATTTCTATTAAACCCCTTGAACAGTAAGTTTCATTATTGTTTCTCTTAAACTCTATTGTGCTTGCATACAAAAGCAAAATTGAGAAAATTGTGTCACTGTCCAAAAATGTACAAATCAAGCTATTTTTGTGATAAAAAAAAGTTTTTTCATAGCAAAGTGTAATATTTTGCTTAATGTTTAGTAGAAGAGTTAGACCTCTGCGTGACTGTGGGGGCAGGTGTTTCTGGCAGCACAGCAGCACTAAGAAAAACATGTAGATCTGGGCGTTTATACGGATATGTCTTTGTGCGAGCAGATGCAAGCAGCGATAAGCTGTCGATCAGCTAATTGGACGACCCAAACGTGGAAACCATTTAGTTAGACTCAAAACAACAAAAGCAGCAGAATAAGCCATAGAAAAATACATTAAGCCATAATTCTGACTCCATAAAAACCCTTTTGTTACTGTGCCATAATTGAATTCCAAGGACATAAGGGAGTAAATTTGACTTGGGGACTGCATTTCATCAAAGTGGACACCACAAGAAAAAGTGAAAAGAGTCCATTTACCTAAATTAAACAATGAGTAACATTAAAATTACACTCACGCCAAAGTGAAGAAGAAGAACATTTAGAAATGTGTCCTTTTACCCACATATTATGATTGTATTTCATAATAATGACTAAGTCACAGTTACAGAGCTTAAATGAAAAATTGTTCACTATTATTTCACCACGAATTCAATCGTTCAGCTTTAACATTTCGACTACCAGCTGCATTATTCTGTTAATGTAAATCAGGGCCGGCGACTCTATTATTGTGCTGCAGTGGTCAGATAAAAACCAATCTCCCTGAAGTTCAGTATTAGATTTTCTATTTGTGGGACAATCCAATTAGTATTTTTAAAGCAATGCAACTCTTTTCCAAAGCTTGAAACCAGAGAACAAAGATTGCAATCTGCAATGCCCAATATGGACCCAGCAGCTGCTGCTTTTACATTAAATGAATATCTGACTTGGTAATACTTGGAAATTAAATTTGCTGTAATAGTGTCAGATCTCTACCAGAACATATAAAATATTCTGGATACGGTCATGGTAACCTTTTCCATCTTTTCCACTTAATTCTCTGCGGAACCAGTGTACAGTGTGTTGACACGGGATGAGGTCGGCTCTGGCTGTGCATGTCTTAGGGCATAAGAACATTCATAGTTGCTCAGTGGCATATCTCTTCCATTAAAGTGCTTCGAGTCAACTGGGAACAGTGCTTCACATTTTACTGTGAAGTGTGGTTTGAAAATTTAGCCTTAATTCTTTTTCAATGTAATCAGAAACTGCGATGAGAAAATCAAAAAGAACAACGTCTCAGACCAGCGAAGACATTTAACATTTAATGAAGTGCTTTTATGGTTACAGCACAAAGATTGTTGCAGGATCCAAATAACTTCTGAAACCACCCTAAAATATGCAACAGCTTTGTTAGGCGAGGTTTTGTGCTTAGCGTTATCAATTTTGCATGAAGTCAGCAGCAAAATTGCCAGAGACTTCCGACACCAGTGCAGTAAAAAGTATGTTAAATAATAAACAGCCCTATAGTGCAATAGCAGGTTTCTGGCCAAAGAACAGCTCCTGTTGAATAAATTAAGGTGAAAACAGGAAGCCGAGCACTGATAGGTCTCAGAAAGGCTACAACATACTTGTGAAGAATGTAAGAAATAAAAAAATGTGTTACATTACTGGCATTGACATTATAAATCACTTGAAGTTAGCTGACAACACTCAGCTCAGTAAACTTTGAAGATAGCGTTTTTAGGTAGTTTTCATACAGAAGCGAATTATGCATACATGTAAAATAACTTGTATTCTGAAAACAACTGTGTAATTTATCTTAAGGGGATTCATCTTTGTATTTCACACTTCTCCAAAGATTGTGGCTTAGTGTTTTCATTTTTCAGAAGCTGTTAGCAGGGAGGTTAACTTTGCATTCATAATCTTCCTCACAGTGTTTCAGTTAATCACTTCAAAATACAAAAATCGTTTGTTGGTGCACACTGTCAGTCTTTTTATCAAAGTTTCAGATGATAAACGACGATGAAAGAAAGCTTTTATATATATATATATCTATCTATCTATATATATATATATATATATATATATCAAAGCCACAGCATTTATAAGAGACAATGAGTTGCAGAGTATGGTAATTAGCTTCTTTTAAACCTGTGCCATTAATTAAAACACTTTTTTGACAGCTACTGCAGGTAAGAGGATGTTTTTGCACATTTGAAGGAAAAGTCTTTGTAACGGAGCACTAGAAAAATGCTAGTCATTAAACAGAACCAAAGGACACACAAGCTGTTAAAATGTATTTTGAATAATTTGTTTAGGCTGAATTAGTCTCCCTCCATCTTCTTTCTCTGTGGTATTTCCACATCCAGCACCTCCGGGAGTAGACATACTCAAGACTGGTAGTGGCAGTTAGAGGCACTTTGAGGTGCCTCATTCATTAACTTTGTTGACACAGACCCACAGGCCACTGTGTGTGTCGTCCTGGTATAACTCATTTTGCGGGGACATAATCTACTTACACAGTCTCATTACGAGGACATGCCTTCATTGTACGCAAAAAAGTAAATCCCTAAAAATGAAGGTGAAGACCCGGAAAAGAACAGTTACTGTGTGTGTGTGTGTGTCTGCACTGGCTGACAAAGACCTGTGGTTGACTTGCCTGTGAGATGGGCTGGTTAACATAGACCCATCCAGTGATGGGGTTGACCTGCAGGTACTCAGGCTGCTCCAGAGACATGGCGTAAGTGATAGCTGCATTAGTGCCAAAGTCATCATCGTGAGCAGCAACACGCAGAAAACTGGTACCGACCAAAGTGTCTTCCCTCAAAAAATCTGCACGGGAAAGAAATAATGTATGTGCGCTCACTTTACTGGTCAAAGAACTTGCATTGTAGTAGCTTAGAGCAAAGGATGATGAAGATCCTTAGGAACAAAAATAAAATGTCTCCAAAAACGTGCTCAATTAAATCAAATTACTATATAAAGGTGCACAAAGTCAATCAAATTCTCTATGACTTAATATCAGTTTTATTTACTTCTGCATTTTTAATGGTCCTGGTTGTGCCCCTGCTTTATTAATGCTATGCATATTTCATTTGGACATCAACAAGAATAACATTCATCCCAAACTTACACTCATAGCGCAAATTCTCAAACTTGGGGCTGTTATCATTTTGGTCCAGTATTTGGATGGTTAGCTGACAGATGCCGATCAGTGGCTCCTCTGCCCAATCAGTAGCCGTTACTGTGATCGAATACTCTCTTTGCCGCTCCCTGTCGAAGCGCCGGGCTGTCACAATCACTCCTGTACATACAGAATAATGATCAAACATACGCACGGCAATACCACACAGTACTTCTGCACCCCGGTATTTCCACCAATCGACCCAAGATTTTGTAAACAAGTAAACAATTATGAATTTATTCGGAGAAAGTCGAGAATTTCTTTCAAGTGCGGTGACTTTGCTATTAAATCTTGAGATGAAGAAAACTGAGCACGAGCCTAAAAGAAAATGACTGACAGAATAACATGTTGCCTGCCCGTGCCAGGACTTCTGAACAGCTTCTCTATTTGCCTACCCCTTAATTATGTACACTCATTTTTTATAATCACACTGAGCTTCTCCCAAATTTAATCAAATGTTAATCAGTATACAGGTTTTGGCATTTGACTTAAATTCCTAAGAATAACAAGTCAACGTATAACAGTTGATATTGTATCAGTATGCATCCTCCTCACGTCTCCACGCCTCAGCTCAAAATTACCATTAGAGATGACAATTAACATTTAAATACAACACATTCTACCTACAGCAGACTCTCTGCTCTATGTCTAATTGAGACCTCTTTTACCCCAGACGAACTGAAACTGTTCTACCTGTGTCCGGATGGATTCTGAAGGCAGGCATTGCGCTGTCTCTGTGCATTAGGCCATATTTGACTTTTCCATTTGCCCCCTCATCTGCATCCACGGCATGCACTTGCAACACAAAAGTCCCCGTTGGCTGGTTCTCCAGCACCGAAGCCTGTTCACGATATTGCTGGCACTGAGATAGAGAGGGGAAGAGGAAACAAGGAAGGAGAGATAAATGCAAGAAAGTAGTCCTATATAAGGGATTGTATCATCAGAATACGATAATATTAATAAGAAAAAGGGGATCAAAGAAACTAAACTAATTAAGTAGAAGGTCACTACACACACCACACAGGGAGATTCTGCACATGAAACACAATATAGCAGTTATAGATACAGTAGACCACATCTTTGGAAATGAAAACACTTGAACTGATTTCTTTTGAAGAGCCAACAGCGAACAGCTTTGTCTTTGCAAAGAATTCAATCCATTCCCCCTAATGAACATATGCCCCAGATAAAGAGCAGCTCTCTGGAGTCGTTCTTTTTTGTAATCAGATATAAAAGCCAGCTACTCTTTCAACAGAATGACCATGAAAAAAGAAAAACAATAGACAAGGAGGAGCAAGAATGAAATGGAGAGAAGGAGATGGATCAAAGGACGTGAGCATGCAATTAAAAGAAGAATAATGCAAGAGTTCATGGGACGCGATGGCACAGACAGCATGGCCGGAGGCAGCTGTTCATAAAAATCACATAATATAAAGCATAAGGTCATGCTGGCCCAGGTGGTTCTGAGGCACAACTTGATATTCAAACAAATCAAGTTGCCAAGAGTTCAAACCCGCCCGGAAGACCCAGGAGCTCCAGCTCTGCATGAATATGTCTTCTGCCGAAGTTCAAGTCACTCCTAATTAAGGAGGAAGTTAATTAAACAGGTACAGTATATTGTGATGATTTTGCAATTTTTTCCTAAATTAATTGAAATCCCACTAGACTGCCTAAAGATAGAGTGGGTGTGCAGGCTAATCGGAACTCATGGGAAAACAGAGCAGAGAGAGACGGAGGCCAGGGAAATGAGAACAGAGCAAAATATAAGAGTGCTAGAGAGTGAGGCGAGAAGATGGAGGGAGGAAGGAAAGAGGAACAGCTGAAATGCAATGAGGGGATAAGACTGAGAAAAATACAACAATGGATTATAAAAGGTTCACGTTGACAGCAACAACAAAAGAAGGAATGCCTGAAAGGTCTGACATTTTGGGAAATACATTTACAGACTCTTTTGCTAATAGTTAGCTGAAAAGATCAATACAACTCTCCTTGCATGGCCTGCATGGTGAATATATAGCTTGAACCAGTAAGTAGTTAGCCTATAAAGACTTAAAACAGGTTGGAAGTGTCGCACTATCCAACGGTGCTGGAAAAGTCTTGAATAAGAAATAGGTAATACATTTGTTTTGAAGGCACTACTTTTCTTCTTTGTCCTTGGCTGTTTTACTTTCCTTCCCTCCTTTCTGATTTTCTCACCCATGACCAATTAGTTATACCTGCTCGTCGATACCCCGTCCTTCTTGTGTGTTTAATTTGTCTTTGCCATCAAGTCTTTGTCAGATCGTCTGCGTCCTTTGCCCACCTCTGAGCTCCTGAGCCTTTGTCCGTCATGCTGTCTACCCTGGTATCTGCCTGCTTTTGCACCTATAGTTGTGCTAAGCTTCCGTGTGTTTTTCCACTTCCATTTTTGTTTATCTTCTTGGATTTAACCATTTTTTTGTAGGGATTAAGTAAAAAACTAAATGTACTAAAAGTACCAGGGTTGTCTTCCTCACCTCCTCAAATATAGGTTTGTTGTTGTTGACATCATCAACCCCAACGATGACCCGGGCAGTCGAAGACAGAGGGTGTGGTCCGCCCGAGGCATTGTCATCTGTGGCCGTTACATTCAGGACGTACTCCAAACCTTGAAGCTTGGGCAGGGGAGTCGAGCGGAGACGGATCAATCCTGCAAAGAGCACAGACCACTTAAATTACTTCTTGTATAGTATATGGTCTACACTAACAGAGTACATACAACCATTCTATAGCTGTTAAGTAGGATGTTATTGCTGCTGAGGAAGTGGACGCATAGTAAGGGATGCGCTATCAATAAGAACACACTAGAAAATGCATACTGCATACTGTTGTTCTAGACGTTGGAAGCAAGATAGAGAGCTGTGAAAATTCAGCTCTCAAGTCCACAGAAAGGTAGAAATCTGATATACAGACTAAATCCAAAAACCAATTTCACAGTAGTGATTTTGTCACATTTCTAATCTAATAATTGCGTGCTTTCCTCTAAAGATGCCCATCCAGCTAAAGCACTTGAGCGAAAACATAAAGCAGTACAGTGAGTCTGGTCAGAAGTTAACGAGGCTCAGCAGATGCCTATTAGCTGTTCCTCTTGCCCCCTTTGTCTGCTTTCATGTAACAGTCAAGATAAAAGGTGGGATAAAAGGATGGAGCATCTGAGTCAACATCTTTCTCGTCAACAGAAATACAAAAACATCAGAGGTTGCAGAATGAGCAAGCAGCCTGTGATGTGGGGAAAACCTATTGAACTGAGAGCATGGGGAGTTTTTTTATTCTCTTGTTGTGTTTCTATTCATCCCCTTCAATGCTCTTGATTAAAGACAACACAGCATGCTGATACACACATATGGGAGCGCCTGACTTCCCTCTCTCCTGTATTACTTGTAATTTCACCTGCCCACAGAGCAGAGAAGGATCCAGGTTCTAATGACAATGCATAACATTGACATTGCTGCACCGCTACATTAAAATACGCAAACTGTGGGATGTGCGCAGTAATTGTCTCGCCTTAAATGTCAGCCTTGTTTACAAACGCAACACCAGCTCAACCAGCTATTCAGCTAGCAGCATTCGTTGCATATACAGTAAAAGGGAACCCATATAGTGATAGTGATTTCCCCGCACCCAAAGGATATCAGCCTTAGCATTTTCTTTCTCGGAGGATACACAGAAAGGGTGGAAAGAAATATAAAACGATGACACAAAAGAAAGAGGAGCTGGCGGAGCAGAGCTTGGAGATTGCGAACTATGATAGAGCAGTTGTTGTGAAATTGAATTGAAAGGGTTGGGTGACAAATGTCACAGAGATTGCCACTGGTTTCGGATCAAAGGGTAAATAAAAAAGATAAACTGTGCAGTCCTCAATGCTAGAAGGCTAAGAAACATGTGGAACATTCCTCTCTGTACCTGGAAAAAGCCAAACCAAGGACAGAAATGTCCTAAATAATGTTATAGATTTTATTTATGACCCTAATAATAGAAAGAGCAGCATGCGTATAGGAAATATAGCTTTTATTATCAGCTTTCAATATCTTTTCACACTGCCTTTGAAAATAGAGGCCGTTCCTTGAAAGCGCAATTTGACAGAAAGCCCATCGATTACAATGAGAGCTGAATAATATGACACCTGGTTGGAAAATTAAGAAATATCACCTTTCTGGCTGTCAATGACAAAATTTTCTTCCTCGTTGCCTGCTGTTACGGAGTAGAATATAGCATCGCCATCTGGATCTTTGGCCAGAACTGTTGCAACCAGGGTGTTGGGGCCTGCATCCTCAGAAACGAATGTTCGATATCTGCAAAGAGGAACTCAAGTTTAGAGAAAGTGAGAACACATACTTGGTGGAAGTCAATAATAGAAACCCACAAACAAAGAGACTAGAGATATGAATCATTTACACAGTCCAGGGCATCGAGAAGCTGATTAGACTTATGGTTGTGGCTTTTACTTGTCACTATGATTTAACCTGTCCTCTTAGCTGGCCAGACCAGAGACAAATGATAATGTCTACTGGGATTTTGAAGCCATTGAACAAATGGTGCTTCCACATACCCTGCCCACTGTGGGCCATTTGATCCACTGCCTTTTAAAATGTCAACAGTGATTTGCTTGCTCTGTGGTGCTGGGAAGCAAAATGCCCAGCAAGACACAGGAGACTGATATACCGCTGTGGTACAAAGCACAATGGGGAGGAGATTAACTCTGTGACTAAGAGGACGCACAGATGAAGAGAAGAAAAGAAAAAGGTGAGAAAGGAGCAGCTAGGTGACAAAAAAGAAGGCTGTCAGTGAAATGACAAGTAAAGTGATATGTGGGAGTGGGAGAAAAAAGAGAGGAAAAGAGGACGGCTGACAGAGAGGAGCAGGCTATAAGAGGGGGCGGTGTTCTCACAGAGTTCGAGTTGATTCGTCAGCAGAACTCATCCCCTGCGAGATTTTGTGCTGTATCCTCTTCTAATGCGTGTGTGTGTGTAAGTATGCGTGTACGTGGGGTGGGGCTGCGGTGTCTATGGTGAAAAGTCAGAGGTGATTGATGGTTTACAGAAGAACGCTGATGGGTGATTCATCTCCGCCAGCCTCGGCAATCTCCGTGGCAACATGAGTGACCTGTAATCTGTCACCCGGCTCAGAGGCCACCTCTCCGCAGCTCTGAGGGGATGAAACATATACACTCCCTTTGCTTTTCTTCCTGAAGCGTCTTCCTACATCTCACTGAACTGTGAAGTTGTGCTCAGACACGGTACGCCTGCCTGCCTGTCTGTCTGCTTCCCTGCATGTCTGGACATTTTGCATTTCCATGGAGTCTCTCGCTGTCTGTCCCTCACTTCAATCACATTTAGCCACTCTGTGGCTCATTCAGATGCAAACTGAGAGGAAAAAAACACTAGCCCGTCCACTCATCTGTCAGGCAAGTATCTCAATTAATCTGAATGTAAGAGTAATTTCTTAAATGTTAATGTGCACACTCTACCTCCACACGAGTCTCTGTTCTTTTTTGAGCACTACAGCCCAATTCTAATCTGCAGCCTACAGCCTCTCGGTGCACTTGCACATTTACATGGAGGCTCCGCCACATTAAGTGTCATTCCAACCCTACTAGCCTTAAGTGTGAGTGGGTTATGAATCCTTCCAACACTGAGACTGCATCAGTGCAGGCTTACTACCCACAGTGCTGAAAGGTGAAGAGCTTGTTTTGTTTCCTGCATGAAGGAAACTCCACACATATGATTGTTGTGGTTTAGGGTCTTTACCTTACAATTTAAAGTGCCTCGTTGTGATTTGGTGCTACATAAATAACACTGAACTGAACTGCATTCATACAATTGAGTTATATGTGATTATTTCAGTAGGACTGCATCTGTAATGAAGAAAAATGAAATGGCTTCCCTTAAAACAAAAAACCCACAAGTTGTTTTTTGTTTTTAAATCTTACAGTAAAACAATGTTGCTTCATTTGTTCCTTTTTGCTTTCAGCAACCAAATCTTAACTTTATTCTGCTGAATGTATCTGAAATATTCTGTTCAGCACTTTCCACCTTTTTTTAAGTGCTTTATAAATAAAGATTACTATTTTCCATTCTGGTTATAGAGGTCAAGAAGAAGTTGGAGAAAAGAATGAAGAAAAGTAGAATAATTTCAACAAATGCTGAATACTGTCTGTGCTTTAAATGATTGAATACAATTCAAATGGAGCACACACTTTTTTCAGTAGAAGATAGACATCATCTTAATAGACCTACTTGGCACATTCTCACAGAAAGCACTGTTACTATTAAATAATGGCGGGTCTTCCCAAAGCTTGCTGGTATATTCTACACTACCCCTTAATTAAGAGACTCTCTGCAGACACAAGTGTGACTCAACACAGAGTTTCACTCATCACTGAGTTGGAGGAAGTAGCAGTCGAATTCGAATTGGGCCCCTGCTCGCTTCCCTCACAGCATTTATCTACATCTCAGAGAGCCATAGTGTGAGGAAGCGCCTAACACATGCTACCTGGCAAAACGTCTGCATTTCTAACTATCTGTCTGCTGGAAAGAATATTTGCCTGACTGCCGACAGGCTTCTCTGTTTATCTGCATATCTGACTGGCTGTCTCCTGTCTACTCGCAGTGTATGTTTTGGCATTCTCTACTTGCTTGCCCTGCAACCGTGTTTCAGTGTGTTTTTCTTTTCAGTTTTATGTTTGTCTGCCTACATCTCCACCTTTCTGCCCACCTCATTGTTTGGCTGTGTGTCTAGCCAGTCACTGAGACTGACACCTGACAATGCAACAAGAGCAGGTAACAGAGGTCTGCAACAGTCTTGTGTGAAGGTCATTGAAACATGACTGACAGGACAAGCAGCTTACTTGTTCGATAGAATAAATGTAGCAGAGCCACAGTGACAGTTGCTGCCCACCCACTTATACAGCTTTGCCAAAAAGCCACTCTGGGACACACTGGATTGCATCCATATGTCAGTTTACTGCATACCTTTGGAAAAGGCCAAAAATAAAACCCAGAGAGTGTGAAGTGAATGCTCGAATTCACTACAATATTGGACCACAAACATTTTGAGCTATCCATCAGAACATGCTGTGAAACTAACAATGTCACACTTTATGATTAATGTGAGTAACAGACTGTTTTGATGCCAGATGGCTGTGATTAACACGCCAAATAAAACATATTGAGTTTGTCTTATGCTGGTGGATTCACTACAGCAGTTTGGAGACGAGTTGGCCACTATTCACAACAGGACTCCCAGCATCAAATATTATTGCAACGGATAGCCTCAAGGACGGCAGGTCTGTGATGTATGATGTAACAGCCCATATGTCTGTGATGCAACTACCTCGTCTGCTCAAAGAGTAAAGCTTTGATAAACTCAAATATGATCAGCTGGTGGATCAGAATTTAAGCAGTGGCAGCAATGGCAACATTATTTAAACTCTGCTTGAGTTTGATGTTAAAAAATGTTCAATTCTGCATAAAGAAAAATGCAACAACACAAAGACATCCATGCATTGGATATTTTTTATAGCCATTTATTGATTTTTTTTTTTTTCATTGCACTTTTGTATCTCAGCCTTAGTTTTTTGATGCAGCTGTTTTATGTTTTCAAACAATAGTTGCAAATTAAGATGATAAACCATTGATTTTGGTTTGTGATGGGGAAAAAAAGACTACTTACACAGCCTGGGAGAATTCGGGGGCTTCATCGTTGACATTCGCCATCCTCACACGGACGGTGGCAGTGCCAGAGTGAGGTTCGTCCCCACTGTCCACCGCCATCACCACAAACTCATACAGATGATTAGGCCTCTCATAGTCAAGCCGTCTCGCTGGGAAAACAGTCCCATGGGGTGAAATGCTGAAGTCCGGGCTCAGGGTGTAATAGGTGAGTTCAGCATTTAACCCTGAGTCACAGTCCGTGGCTAACACTGGCAGGGGGAAAGACATCACACGAGAGCCATCAATTACGAGTTAATCGAAAAGGGCTGATGAGATGTGATCAGCTCATGAATATGTTGACATCTGTGTAGATCATTATCTCTTTATGGCCTTGCTAAACATGCGATAAATCACGAGCTATGACAGCTACTATTACTTGAACAGAAACGGTGCCCTTCCAGAATGATTACTATCATTTGACAATACGAGCTTAAAGACAGCAAAAAGACAGAGTGGAATGCACAGTGTTTGTGTGTGGATTTGGAAATGATTTTATTCTGGGGTAATTATAGAGAAGAAACAAGTATAGATTGGTTTCCAATGTGTGGTGTGATTTTCTCTAAGAGTATAGCCACAAACACTGTGTGAGTTTCACTTAAAATCCCTGTTTCATGCACATCCCCTCAAGCTTATAACAATTGTCTACTGCATATTCTTTTGATGTGTGTATTTTCTGTGTGTCAAGTATCTGCACCAGCAAGCAGCCTGTGTGTGTCAGTGCCATCTGAACATCTTGTAATACATTTCCAGACAGGTAATTCACTACGCACCCTTTGCATTTAACTGTTACAGTGTGACTGACTCATTAAAAGGTAAAGACAAAGTGAAAGGGAAGTAAATCTCCTTTGAACCTTGCTGTTACTAGCTCAGTCTGCACAGTTTCTTTTATCTTCTTCAATCGAGTTTAGCTATAGTTTGGTCCATACGTCTTTGGACAGTGATACGTTTTTCTAAGTCGGTCTATGTACACCACCACAGTGCATTTTAAATCAAACAATCAAAATGTGATTTTATACACAGTCCTACTTTTTCAGAGGCTCAAAAGTAATTGGACAAACTAACATAACTATAAATAGATAAATTGTTTCAATACTTGGGTGGAAAATCCTTTGTAGTCAATTACTGCTTGAAGTCTAGAACCCAGTGGCATCACCAAATGCTCTGTTTCCTCCCTTGAGATGCTCTGCCAGGGATTTTCTGCAGCTGCCTTCAATTGCTGCATGTTTGTGGGTCTCTTTGGCCTCGATTTTGTCTTCAGCAACTGAAAATCATGCTCTATTGGGTTGAGATAAGATAAGCTATTTGGCCATTAAAGAATATCCCATTTCTCTGCCTTGAGAAACTCTTGGGTCGTTTTTGTGGTAGCTTTAGGTCATTATCCATTTGGAGTGTGAAGCACCATCCTATCAATTTTGCTCAGAGAACAGGGCTCTTTAAACTTTAGAATTAATTCTGCTAATTTTATGAGTAGTCACATCGTCAATAAACACCTGACCCGGTTCGACTGGCAGCAACATATTCCTCCACCATGCTTGACAGATGATGTGGTATGCTTTGGATTGAGAGCTGTTCTTTTTCTTCCCCATACTTTTCACTTCCCATCATTCTGGTACAAGATCGTTATGGTTTCTAAAGTTTTTTTCCCCCAGACTGTGCTACCTTAGATGTGTCCTAACAAAGTCTAATCTGGTGTAACCACTGGTTCCCACCATGTTGTAAACCCTCTGTATTTCCATTCATGAATTATTTATTCCCTGATTGTGGACTTTTGTGTTCTTGATTTGTTTGTATATTGTGAAGAAGACGCACTGTAATAGACATTTCATTCCATCACTTTGACATTTTAGTTACCTGTGCAGTTCACCAGTTTAAGTTACCTTGTTAATCTAAATTAGGGTGGTTTTACAGAATGATACAGTCCTATAACTGCACTGAATATCAGCTATAGTCCTGTTGCAGCATAAAGGTCTCCCTTTTATACTTCTGCTTTTCAACCCTTTAAGATGACACTTTGTCTCCATTTTCTTTTCATCTTTGATTCCTCTGCTGCCACCACACTGGTTATGTTATTTTTTTCTCGGTGCATCGGTTTGTATTGGTTGCCATTGTCTCCTGCTACTGGCTTTGCAGTGCCAACAGTCTTTACCGCTCCAGGCTGTTTATTCGAATGTTTTGAGATTAAATTTGTTCCATTTTTCTCAGTCAGAATGCACCAGAAACAATTGCCCAGCTTGAGATTCCCACTGTAGCCAGTGGGGTAAAGAAGTCCCAGAGGCACAGCAACATTTGACAATAACTAAAGAGAGAGCAATGTGAAAGGCCAAACAAATAGCCCCGAATAATGTTTTGTTTTGGGGTTTGTTTTTGCATATTATGTGGCGTGTTTAACATTTCAAGGGTTAACTTTGTGAGTTAAATATCACGCATGGTGAAAGAATCCCTTTCAGATAGTTCTGTATCTGTGGCTGTGGCTAAATACTGAATCTCATACATACAGAATCCCAAAACACTCAGATCTCATGAGTGCAGTTAAAAGAGTAATTTTAATCACCAGCGACAGTGGCAAAAGTGTGTGAGAGATACAGGGTCATGAATTATGAAGCAAACAACTGTATCTGATTAAAAACACACCACACTCTGTTTCTACACTTCCTTCAATAGGTTTCTTAATTAGTGTGTATTTTTACAAGTTAAGCAGTGATGACAGCAAAACATATTCTTTCAACCTCATAATTTAAAATTATAAGCTAGACCCATGCAGTAATAGATAAACTGCCATTATTCATACAAAACGTAATAAATCAAAATGTATGGTGGGGGTTTTTTTTAGCAGCTACACTGGTTCAGTATGTAACAGATTATGATGTAAATACAAAACACTGTCACTGGGAAACTCAAGGTCAAACGAGAAACTCTTCTGTTAAAATTCAGTTGCTGTTTTTTCCCTGGGAAAAAGTTACTTTTTATAAAGTTTCTTTCTTTAATTCAAAAAGAACCAGATGGATGTGACATATGGGGTCAGAGGATTCTCACCCTGCAGCAGGGATGTTGCCGTGGTTACAGTCTCGGGGACTCCATCCACACTATAGATGGACTGAAGAAACTCTGGGACACAATCATTCTCATCCGTTATCAACACCTGAACCTGATTAGTGCCGGCGTGATGGGATAAGAGAGGAGAGGAGAGGAGAGGAGAGGAGAGGAGAGGAGAAAAGAGGAGAGAGGAGAGGAGTCATACAATCAGTATATAAGAAGACAAAATTAAGCTTTTGTTATCAACTCTCAATTCTAGAAAACAACCATATGAAGGTTTCTGTACAGGAAGCTGACCCGAAAAGTTAATCTAAATTGCATTTTATAGCTCCCCAAGTTGCCAGTTCAACACATTCTTTATCTTCCACTCCATGATTTCCTTGAGTCAAAAATAGAAATGTTCTTAGCATGTGTGTGCCTCACTGTGCGCATTTGCGACAAAGGCCCTTAGTCGCCCCTCCACCCTACAAGCTCCCTGTCACCACTGTGTGTAAAGTGTGAAGTGACAGCTGAGTAATAGTCCTGAAATAGCTGGGATAGGTTTTCCCAGTTTCCATCTCTTATTCCACAACATGCAGCTGAGCAGAAGGAGGTTGTGCCCGCTAAATCTGCGGTACAGAGTAAGAGGCCGACATGATAATTGGGCAACAAAATCTTTTCAATTAATAATTGAAATCACACTGCAGTTGTAAATAATTTATCTAGAAATATTCATTTATGAAGGATATTTTCAGATTTTGATTTCTTGTGCCTAAGAGGGTGATATTTTGCAGCGTTCATCTCTAGATAACAATTGACAAAAAGCACTTAGTGTGAGACACGAAGGCGAAGAGTGAAACCGCAGAACAAAACTTCACTTGGGTCACCAGTCTACTTGTTAACATTTAAAAACCATTCAGGCGTGCCACTGCTGTAGACAGTTGCAAACTATGCTGCTCCTCTTTCGTGGTTATTGCCAAGCAGTGTGATGTCAACAGGTCACTGTCGTTAACCGTTATGAGCTATTTAGATGAAAACCTGCCTGCCTCGGAGCGTTGTGGCAGTCCAGTGGGAGAGCGTGACAGACAAAATCATCCAAACAGCAGAACATATTTTGTTATTTCATTTAATTCTCCAAAGTAATAGTAAATGCCTGAGTCGCAGTCACAAACATCACAGTGGACCTCAGCTTTGGCCTCAGATTACAACAGAGCTTGAACTCTTACATGACTCCTATTTGGTGCCCGTATCTCTGTCTAATTAAACTAACCTCTGTTGCAGCGCTGAGGCTGCCTGGCTCTTCACTGGCTCGCACCATCAGAAGGTAGCGTCGCTGGTCATTCTCATAATCCAGTGTCCTGGTCAGGCTGATCTCCCCCGTCTCCTGCTGAATGCTAAAAAGGCTACTGGGATTGATCAGCAGACTATAGCTGATTTTCTGCTTCTGGAAGGAGATGGCAAACACCACCAGGAAGCTGTAGAACAAAGAGAAAGCGATTAAAAGAAATGGAAAAAAGAGTCTTTATTGTTTGATTTTAGCTGCAGCCTTGTTGAATTAGGATCGAAATCCTCTTCTCCTACATCAGCACTGTGCTGTAATGAAATCAATTATTGTATGGCCCATTGGCTATGTGCTATAAACACAGTCAATCAGTGATCGTCAGTTCTGTGTAATAATATGATACTATTATGTAGATATCAGTGTTTGTTTTGACAGTGAAGAGAGTTTGCATTCCCTAATAGTGTGTGATGATAATAAGTCAGTTCATGCTTGAGTGCACTGCTGTGAACAAATGAATATTTATTAACAAATTCTTAACAAGTTATGCTTGAGATCTGACACCTTTTGTGTGTTTTTATGCATGTCTGCATTCATTATTGTAGGACTTATGTTTGCAGAGCAGAGCTATACATACTGGAATTTCAGTGATTTACATTATTATGCTAAAGTCTGCATGTGTAACTGTCCTCATGTGAGTCACTCCGTGAGACAGCACATCGTCTCATGCCTGCATTCATCTTAGTCTTTGTTAATTTACAGAAATTAAGTGTATTAAAAATATGTCTTCTATATTGTTGCATTTTTAATGTTGTGCTTGCAGTATTGGGCAATTAAACATACCGAGGCAGCAATGAAGAATCTGACACAAAGTGTTTGCTGATAACCAGATGGGAACAGATGAAGATCTAAAAAGGCCTGGCATATGTGTTTAACAATAAATGATTTGTAAAGATATAATAATTTCAGCTTTACAGAATGAATATAACACAGAAGAAGAAGAAAAGCATTTTTCATGATATTTTGCTCCTAATACGCAGCTGGAACGTATCCCTGAGTATGTTTATAAGAGGATGCAAACACAGGCAGTACTCACGGCTGTCCCTCAGGTGTGTTTTCTGGTATTGAGATGGCATAGCTTGTATTGGTGAATTGCGGCGCTCTAGCTCCCGCCACCACAGAGAGCATGGCAGGGGCACTGCGGCTCCCCATGCCGTCAAGGGCCACCACGCTTAACAAGTACTCCCTCTCCCTCTGAAGTACCAGCCCTGTGGTCACCACCTGGCCTGTCTTCTTGTCAACAGCAAAGCAGCCATCACCGCCTACAGGGAAATACAATGACATTATTTTCCACAACTGGATCCAAACCAATGCACGGGCGATCGCCTGAATGCAAACACAGAAATGTTTCCTGAATAGCCTTTTAAAAGGGATTTCTGTCTTACTGTGTTTGTGGAATTTATACAATCTGTTCAGCTCTAATAGAATTAATAAATATGATTTATGTATAAACACATTTAATTTTATTCATTCTGTGCAATTCCTTAATCATAATAGTCAACAACTGTTGTCACGTTTAATCATTTTTGGACTTTTTACTTATATTAAAATCATTTGATAGTTTATTCACTGTCAACAAGAACTTCAATTATTTTTTAACTCTTATTTGTTTTTAGGCAGTCTGATAGATATTTAACAGCAACTGCATTTTTCATTTCATAGACACTTTGGACCAAAGTAATGAACTAATGACAGGAAATTGAAGGTAGTGTAAAAGAATTCAGATCATAAACAGTTTAAACTCTTAAAAATTACATCTTAGTTACTATAAAGCATGTTAGTATATACCTTAATGTATATTTGCTCTTCACATTTAGATGTCAGAATCACAGCATACTGAGAAGGGAACCAAGCACAGATCCTTTAGGGACCCCAGATGCCATGAAGTAATGATTGCATTCCCTCTCTTATTATTTTGAAAGAACACCGTGTAAAACTAAAGAGCAGCTCTGTGCTCAAAATGACGCTAAGCTTGAATAGAGGGGCCAGGAATATTTGGTGGCTCATCAAAAACCTCATATATATAAAGTCAAAGTACCGGTTCTGCTCGGTGAGAATTGATGACTGGTTCAGGTCAGGTCTCACTGATATGACTTCCATTACTGACGGCAGTGCAGTGTCAGTTGAAATTTCAGCCTTGGTCCTCAGTAGTTTGCTTGTTCTCAAGGCTTATACTGACAAAGAAGCCTTTCCAAGCGCTACATTTTAAATTGTAAATAGCGATTTTTCATATTCAAAAATATTCATATTAAAAAATAGCCAGAAAATCTTTTCTGTGGAATTTAGAAACTAAATTACAGCTGACTTTTTATTTATTGACCTTACACCTTACCTTACAGTTTTAAATTATTTAACCCTTGTATGGTGTTCGGGTCTGTGAGAACCGTTTCCAGTTTTTTTCAAAAGAAAAATTAAAGAATTAATTATTTTTTCAACCTGAAATTCATTGGCTTTGGCTTATTTTCTGTGAAGAACATAAATCCGAACTAATTTTCAATGACCGCATACTGTACCTCCCCCCACGCATTTACATTACATACAAGGTGTTCGGGTCCACTGGACCCAGGTCTAATAAAAGTGTTGAAAGTGCAGGTCCTGTGTTCCCACACTCTGTCTTCCTCCTTTCTGGTGCTGCTGATAGTGTTTTCTTCCCCTCCTGCTCCCGCACAAAGTTGCAACATTGTTGAAAATTCAACTACCAACACGTCTGCTCTTACATTCCCACACATTTTACCCTCTTTCCTGAGGGATCCAAATTTTATGTTCTCATACCCTGTCCCACCTGCAAATTAGGGGCATAATACTATAAATAAGACTTTGCCAGTGTGGTTCTTTATCACAACTGATCAAGATGACAAAAGATTATCTGCTGCGAGGGCCATCCAATTGATTTTGGAAGAGAGAGAGGCTTCGGAGGATGATGTTGACAAAGAGGTTTCAGAATATTTCACATTTCTGAAAATTCAGAGTCTGACAGTGACTTTGAAGAAGAGGATGAGGTTGAGCACCATTTAGTAACAAAACGAAGACGAGCACCCCATCTGCAGCCAGCTCCAGGACCAGAACAAGCCCACCAGACAGCAAGTGAAGAAATATGGATGTCAATAACTGGTGAAATTGAATGGTCTTCTTGCCCAAGAAATGAGCCACCCTGCAGAGCTGTTACTGTGATAAGCCAGGGCCAACACGGCTGACAGTTACTCATGTGCAGGACATCAAGTCTTCATTTGAGCTCTTCATCCCAGATTCCATCCAGAAAATTATTCTGGATTGCAGTAATCTAGAAGGAAGGTGTGTTTTTGGAGAGAGGTGGAAGGAGATGGACCAAATTCATATAAGAACCCCAAAGGCCAACTTTGGGGTTCTTATCCTTGCAGGAGTTTTCAGGTCCAAAGGGGAATCCACAGAATCCCTGTGGGATGCTGTACTATCTGGATGACCATCGTGTAATTAAATAAATTATGATTAAATTCTTGTATAAAAAGAAAATCTTAGAGCAGTAGAGGTTCACTAATCTGCAAAACAACTGGAACAACTTCAGAATAATGTTTGTCAGCACAATCTCGTGAAGGCTTTGAATATCTCATCATCTAGCTCGTCTACAGTAAATAAGATCATCACAAAATTCCAAAATTCTGGATAAACCCATGTTTGCAAGCTGAAAATCAGTCCTCAGGATCTTCAAGCTCGCAGCCAGCACTGCATGTGCTCGAGGAAGAGTCCAGAAATCACTATTTGTGGACACAGTGTGCCATTCCAAAGTGCGTCCACAAATACAAGATAAAGCTCTATCATACAGTCTTCTTCAGTTCAGAACGGATAAATCCTCTTGGATGATATAAGAAACGTCTTCACAAATCAAAAAGAAGTTCAGCCACCTTCCTTTAAAGCACTTGAGATGATACGCAGCGGTAAACACGGCTCTGTTCCAACGTAACTGAGACATGCGGCTGCCATCAAAGCCAAAATGGCTTTATTTTTTTTATTAAAATGGTACATTATCTACATTTAAACATTTTAATTTATCCTGTTTAATACTGTAAATAAACCAAGGGGTTATGAAATGTTTAAATGATTGCATTCTGTTTAAATTTACATTTTATGTAGTGTCCCCACTTTATGCCTTGGGGATTGCAGTAATTAATAAGTTTTATAATATTCAGGCTGTTGACAAATGTTATAAAATGCCAAATCCAACACTGTGTTCTTAATTCTCTCAATAATGTGACTTAATAATATGAACCAAGCCAACTTGTAAATATTGGAGACAAAGATTTTTAAAATCACACAGAAAAAAAAGCTATAAAATAGGCAATAAAAATGTATTAATACACAATGAAGTAACAGAACAATGCATATGGGAATGACTCAAAATGAACCACGGTGCTAATGTTTATTGTAACAAAGGAAATGTCTCCCTTTCAGCAGTATGCCTTAATGACTTATTGATGGGGGTTTTTTTTTAAATTATTTTGGAAATATATGGAGGTTTTGGGATCAGAGGAATAAATCAGGCAGTGGTTACACAGGTTTGATAAGATTTGTTAGGATTGTGAGAAATATAGCGTATGACCAAACTCGTTTTTATATACTCTTTAGACATTCTTAGTTATGACTTTCACCTTCTAAACATTAGTAATTATACTGACGAGTGGCTGCTTTTACTTTCCAATTTAAGTTTTCATCGAGCTACTCAATTTCTATTTTCCTTAAGTTATAAAACATTTTTGTCTGACTGTGGTGTTTGTAGAAATTTTAATTAGCAGCTATGGAGAAATGTTTTAATTAGTGAGTCCCATTGTTGTTATGATCATCCTGCCATTGGTTTCCCACTCTTCCACAGACTGACAGCCGGTAGGAGCAATGCATCAACAAAGGTATCAGTGTGCCAAAGGCAGTGAAGGAAGAATGCTAGCAAGTAAACATGGAAGTAATCAATGTAAGACTCTAAATATTTTAAAAAAGATGGGTGAAAAAATCCGTCCAACACTATTGTTAAACCACAAGGATGCACACCATGCATTAGGATGAGGAAGGCTGCGTGTAAACATATCCAAGTGTTTCTATACAAAAAAAACAAAAGCAAAAAACTCTGGAGGGCACTTTTTTACTTTTTCTGCTGCCGTTGAATACTAAAAAAAATTGGGTCAATCAGGGTGACACTGATCAACTGAAGGCTGGCTACTGTCATCTCATCTCATCTTCAAGTTTTTAAAATTAAGCACAGGATAAGAGGGTCGTTTTTTACTGTTTTTTTTATCTAGTTCTTTTAACTTTATGTTAGCTGCTTTGACAAATGTCGCTGCTTATATGAGTTCTCAGCATAGACAAGGGGCGAGACAAAGACAAGGGCCGCTTTGTAGTATTTGTGGTTTAAAGTCAAAACGTGAAGCTGTGCGATGTACTAATGCGAGTCAGAGGGAAGTCAGTAGTGTTTTGTAAAGCCCCATTGGCAAGATTAGCACATTCCCCAATCTCTGACATGTGAACAAACCTCTATCCCCTCAACCACCAGGGGGTCTACTATGGCAGACTTCCAACAGCCAAATGCGTGTATGAGTATTTTAGCGTGTGTGTCTGCAGAATTTACTCTGCGTATGCAACATGGAGAATTAGAGAGATAGATAGAGTGCATGATAAGTGCATAAACAAATGTGCGAAGGCCTCTGGCTGTGTGTGTGTGTGTGTGTCTGACTGCTGCGATTGTGTATGTGTGTGTAGAAAAAGAAAGAGGGACAGAGATACAGAAGAAAAAAGAAATAGGGTGACAGAGAGATAGAGAATCTAACGGACACCTAAAGAACCTATAAATGCATGAATGAATGTGTGAATGCCTCTGGCTGTCATGTCTGAGAACTGGTGTCTGACTACTTGCATTTATTTTCAAGTCTCTATAACTTGTCAACTTATTTTAACAACACAATCTATTTTAATACAACTTACCTTCTATATGGTGTGGTGTGTTGGTGTGTGTGTGTGTGTGTGTGTGTGTGTGTGTGTGTGTGTGTGTGTGTGTGTGTGTGTGTGTGAACAGCAGAAAGCTTACCATCTGACAAAAAGTATTCCACCTCTCCACTTTTACCCTCATCCCCATCATGAGCCTGGAGCTGGTAGACAAACGTTCCCGCAGGGGCCTCAGGGGATACGACAGCCAGGTAAGGGTACGGCTTCATACTCCACTCAGGGACGTTGTCATTGACATCAGTGATCTTCAACTTCACCTTGTTCAGGTACCAGTCTGGGCCTGGAGGATAGTGCAGAGATAGTGATGGAGCTCTGGTTACAAAAAGTGACAGCTGTCATGTAACTGAGTGTGCAGCAGGGAGACATGTTGCCAGGGGAATGTGAAGTGCCAACAAGCATAGAGTCAACTAAGGGTACAGGTATGTGAGATATACATCCTCTCCAGTAGATAGCAAAAACCAGGACTGCATGATTAAACTAAATGTTAATGGGGTTTTTTCTGTGCCTGTACTGTGAAACTGATACCGCTACAGTCTCAATTCAGCTCAGAGGTCTGGTCAAAGTCAATTACCACACTATCTTTAACTTAGTAATTTAACGGCTATCTTTCCACTTTCTTTTGCTACACCATAGCTGCCAGAAGCTCAGGAAATTGTTGTAAGTGGATGTCAGGAGGTATGTTTGGCCCCAGGGTTGAGGACGGTGGATATGACATCATCCATTCATTCTCCATCAGGGTTTCCATCCAAGCATCCAGACACCTTGGTTCCCATGGGAGAGAGCCTCAGCCACTGTCTCATCTACCATGTCTGGGGTAAAGCTACCTTGATCTTCCCACAGGGGCGTGGGGATGATGCCTCACGACTGCAGGCACTTTGTCGCCTGCACAGTGCCTCACTGAAGTGAATAAGAAGATTCCAGGAATCCAATTACCAACTCGCTCAACCTAAGCCGGGGCAGACAGCAAGAGAGCACAACAGCACCCAAGGAGAGGCGGTGTAAAACTGTGTCTCTATGACAGAAGCATAGCGTGACTTTTCCTGGAACTGATAGTAAGGGATCGTTATCCACATTAAACACAATGACACAATCTGGAAACAATGTTCACAAGAAAAACTCGCGACACTGTCACAGGCCCCAATCTAGGACACATTTTCTGCAGAATCTATTCCTGCGATGTGGAGCAAGTCACAGAATTGTAGGCTAAGACACTATTTTCGCAAATATTGGCTGTGATCTTGTGTCAACGTGGCATGAAGGAATATGTCAGAAGAGGTGCCAAACAGTTCAGTAGACTGCAATACACAGAGGCCATCTGCCTCACCCCAGAAAAGAAAACCCCCCCTGCCAGGACAAACACATTGACACACACAAATGCATGCACATACAGATCTGAACACAACCCCACACATGCGCAAGCAATCCCGTCTCAAACACACACTTGCATGTCTCTTTCTATCTTCCTGTCTTTCTCTCACAAACACACACCATGGACACTTAGGCACAGAGGTGAGTTACCTAAAGGCTAAAAGTAACTATGGATTTCAAATCCCATTATGTAAAAGGTTTCATGTTTCTATCCACAGGCTATGTATGTACTTTTTAATCCAAGACAAAAGCAGCAGGAGTGTGCGATGCATCCTTTCACTACCTGAGGGCTGCCTCAACAGATGTGCTGTCTGTATAAAGCAGTTCTACCTAGCTGGTTTCCATAATGTTCTGCAACACAATGTCTTTCCAAAGTCTATTATAGCTGATAATGTAAAACTATATACCTCTAATGAGTACATGCACACAGCAAATGGTATGAAGTCTTCAAACTGCATGAAAATATTTGACAGCACCTTGTGTTGGCTCAAATGAGTTGGAAAAGAGAAGGTGGATGCGGAGATCACAATTCCTATTTCTTTTGGAACTCTTTTACAGTTAAGATGCGTTTTGATGAAAAATGCAACGTTACACTCCATACTAGCTCGTGAGTGTTCACAACTGAAACACAATAGCTATAAAGTGTGTGACAGCTCCTAAAAGGATTGTTAGAGGGATAATAACAGAGAGAGGAAGAAGCTAGAGGAGAGAATTAATCTCGCTTTCTGCTCAGGCTTTAAAGTTGCTCTGTGGAGAGGAAAGTTCTGACTGGGATCTGACGATAGTTCGTTTTGGATAAATAGCCACTGTATCGTGGGGGCAGAGAAACTAATCAATGTTCAGATGCTATCTCCTAAAATGTTGACAGCGGCAATTTATGCGCTTTAAGCCAGATCATCCTGCTCTGTAAGACGGAACAATCCTTTCGTGATGAATAATGAGAAAGGATAAAGATTCTATTGCAAAGTAGACGGGTTTAAAAGGCACTTAATCAAAAGAAATCAGAGCTCCAGCACTTAACATTTAGTTGACTATCAAATCTTTGCGGGGAGTGGTGCAAGACACATTCCTCGCCTCCTGCTTGTTGGTGTCTTTCCCAGGCATGTCTCTGTGGTAATGGTGGTGATGATTTTACAAGGCTCCATCTAATTAGCTTGTTACAGAGAGACTAATCAGAGCCAAGGCAGATAATTAGAGCCTATCAGCTCTGGAATGATAATGAAGAATGTAGTAGTAAGTGCGTATGAGTGTGTTTGTGTTGTATGTGTGTACGCGTTTGCATGTGCAAGGTGAGAGTCCATACGTGTGTACGGGCAAAGGAGAGTGCACGCCGCATGTTCCGAGGCTGCAAATGCATGCGACTCCTCTCTGATCTAAATAGGGAGATGCTGTGAATGATGCCCTGTGAGCACCAAACTGACACGAGCTGCCTTACCTGACCAAGACAAAAGATGTGATCAAATAATGGGCAGGGGCTCACAGGCTCCACTGGATCTTTTAATGTCAAATATGCTTTCTGTGCCCAGCGTGATGAAAGGCTGGTCTATATTTTACAATAGAATCCCATATGGATAAGAGCATATGCTGGATGACTAACATAATAATGTATCATAAAAAGTTGGATGGCAGAGGTGCAATGTGTGGTTGGCAAAGGCTCAGTAAGTACAATGGTGTAGCTCCAAGTGAATGCGCACGCGTCTGTGCAGTATTATGCACGCGTGTTCTATCACTGCAAGCCATTCTGTTGATGTTTCCTGCTGTTAATCCTCTCCTTGGGTACTTGCTATATAAAGCTGCTAAGTGGCTTGCCTGTATGAAAAAAAGTTGTCTCAAGTGCTTCTGTGCACATATACACTGCCCACAGTACAAGGACAGTGAGGGTGTGTGGGAAGGGGATGAGAGGAAACAGAGTAAAGGAGAGAGGCACAGCTACAGAAACACAAATATCTACAGAGAGAAGGAAAGAGACATAGAGAGGGAAGAAGGAGGCAGCGTGGTAGAAGGAGCATTGTGTGATGGTTAGCACAGAACGCCAAATAACATTGCAGAGACAAGAGCACAGGGGAAGCACAACACACAGCGTAGCACAACAAAAGATGGTGAGAGAATCTATGTTTGGAAAGAAAACATACAGTAGCGGACCGTGAGAGGAGAAAATTAAGACAGAACACACAGTATAATTAACAACCGGTTTTTTCTAATGCATCCCCTGTTCCTTGTACTCTCATCGAGGGGAGAAATTAAGATACAAATATTTCTGTGTGGAATTAAGCAAATTGCGTCTGCAAGCATAAATATCAATGGCCCGTGTGAGACGTGGAATTTCAGGGGTGCTTTTTTAGCAGCAAGTGAATGGAAAATGAAAATCAGCTCAAAGGGGAAGTAATGAGGTACATTAGCCAAATGTTTGCAGTGTTAAGGAGGCTCTTTTCAAAGCCGCCCACCACACCCCCCCATCTCTGTGCTTAAATCAGAGTGTGAAGCCATCAGCAGGAGATCAACACGCTAAAAGCACTGGGGACAAAAATCTATTAACTCAGGGATTCCGGTGCCGCACACCACGGACTCTGCTCGGCTCAGAATGGCTGACACGCTAAGCATGTAAATACACATGCAGGCACTTTCATCCCAGAACAATTAGAAATGGTAGACGACCTCAAGTTCTGCTCATTTCTTCCAGTCCGAAATCCGCATCACTGCAGAAATTGTCAAAAACTGTGTTCAATGAAGCGGTAGGTACGTTTTTTGCAGACTTTGCAGCAATATCATCATTTATCTGTAGGTACTATACACCCAAACTATACTCAAAAATTTAAAAAGCAGTATTAAAATGAAGAAAGTTTTGATATAGGGTTTTGTATTTTTATTTTTTCAGTGGCTATTAGGCTTTAAATGAGAGCAGGACATTTGAGAACACGTGTAGAATTTTGTTTGCAGCTGGCTTCCTGACATAAGCAAGACCTTTCCTAAAAAGACCTCATCTGGATAACAGAACAGCCTCTTTTGCTCTGTCAGCAGTAATGATGCCTTGATGGATTCCGTGTGCATAATGCACCCTATCCTATCAGAGATTCTACCTTCTACTAAAGCCAGATTCTGTGCTGTTCCCAGTTGATGTCTCTCTTTTTCTGTTTGATTTTTTTGTTGTCTACAGTCAAAAATCAGACACATAATAACATTCCTCCACTGCCTTTGAAATGAGGTGTGGGTCAAATCCAGTCCTCTTATGCTTGTGGGGGGGCTCAGCTTTAACGCAGCAGGAGAGCTGCTAGGGCTTGCCATCAGCTTCATATGTCTGGGGTCGGCATCTGTCCATCTTTGGTTTTAGATGGATTAAGCTGTTGGAAAGCTTTTATTGCACTCGCAGAAGGTTAACAAGACACTGTAAATTCAAGTTGCACCACCTTCTCTTTACCCTGTGTCCTCTGCTATGCTTCTGAAAGTATTTCCAGCAGAGCTCTTTTTTTATGCCCAATCATACTGCTGACCTGTTGCCAATTAGCATTAATAATGGAATGCGCTACCAGGTTTTATTTTGTAATTGTCCAACTTTTCCAGCCTTTATTACCTCAGCTGGGTGACACAAGGTTTGATTTGCATCCCAACTGTTTTGGAAATTGAGTTTTACATTTATGAAAAATCTTACATTAAGTATAAAAAACACAGTAAATCAACACTATTGTGCTGATAATGAAGTTGTAGTACTTACATACATCACACTCCTAAAATGTTTATCAATGCTCAATTTCTTAAAAGCTCTATAAAATCTAAAGAAAATTCAGTGATTCTCAAATTATATGTAATTATTTATTTATTTGCTACACATAATACAAGTCCTGAGAAAACATCTATTGTTTGATTTTTTCAGTTTATACAATTAAATGTTTGTGTCTGTACTGTTTTAGGATATTT